CCTGTAATCCCAGCTACTTGGGAGGCTGAGGCAGGAGAATTGCTTGAACCTGGAGACGGAGGCTATGGTGAGCCGAGATCTCACCATTGTACTCCAGCCTGGGCAACAAGAGTGAAACTCTGTCTCAAAAAAAAAAAAAAAGTAGTTTTCTACTTAAATCAACCTGAGTGAATTTCATTGTTTCCAATCAAGAACACTAACTGAATACATTTTTTTTCTCTCCCTCCCTCCCTTCTTTCTCTCTCTCATTTTTATTTTTTTCTGACACAAGTTATTCACGGTAAAGTGCAGTGGTGTGAACATAGTTCACTGCAGCCTTGAACTCCTGAGCTCAGCTGATTGATTCTCCCACCTTGACCTCTCATGTAGCTGGGACTGTAGGCATGGACAGCCACAATGGTGAATTTTTAAATTGTTTGTAGATATGGGGGTCTCATTATGTTGTCCTGGCTGGTTTTGAGCTCCTGGTCTCAGCTGATCCTCCTGAGTTGGCCTCCCAAAGTGCTGGGATTACAGGTGTGAGCCACCATGCCCAGCCTGGATACATTTCTAAGTATACAGATATCAGAAACCTTTTCTCTTCATTTCAGCTACCCCAACTTTGCGATCAGATCATCAGTTTGGTGTTAAAGATCATTTTAGTTTTAAAAAACAATGTCAAGTTTATACACTTCTTTCCAAATTTTAATTTTTCACTTCTTTCACCAGAATGACCTCCTGAAGTTGGTAGGTCTTATTAATCCTCATTCTGTAGATAAGAAAACTGAGGTGCAAGAAAAGTACTATATAGGTTAAAAAGAAAAGCTCAATATTTTGGGGTCTTCAATGTGCTCAACATTATTTCCTCTCTGTGTTAGTCCATTTTGTATTGCTATAAACGAATACCTGAAACTGGGAGATTTATAAAGAAAAGTAGTTTATTTGGCTAACGGTTCTGCAGGCTGTGCATGAAGCATGGTACCAGCCTGTGCTTCTGGTGAAGACCTCAGGAAGCTTCTATTCATAGCAGGGGGTGAAGGGAGCAGGTGTATCATACGGAGAGATGGAGAGCAAAAACAGGGAGGGAGGTCCCAGACCTGCCCTCAACATTGAACATCAAATTTCGACATGAAATTTATAGGGGACAAATATCCAAGCTATATCACTCTCTAACCATTTATCTCTGAGAAGTCTTGCTCTCTCAAGCCCAGAGAGGCTAAGTCCCTTGTGAGTCCAACCCTTTCTCTAACCCTTATTTGTGAATGAACTAGGAAATGAGACTTGGTCAAAATTAGCCAATCAGATTCTGTCTTGAGAAGTGGGGCCTGGACCCACAGAACTACATCTGGTAAGTGTGAGAGTACTGCTGTAAACTCTAGGGCTGAGGTTACCACCTGCCCAAGGCCCGGCCGACCTGTACTGGGAGAATGGAATTGTGATGGATAATTTTATGTGTCAAGTTGTCTGAGCCATGGACTTAGATATTTGGTCAAATATTTTAAATGTTTCTGTGAAGGTTATTTATTTTTTTATGGATGAGATTAATATTCAAATCAGTAAACTTTGAACAAAGCAGATTTCCCTCCATAATGTGACTGGGCCTCATCCAATCAGCTGAAGTCCTTAATAGAGCAAAGCCTGACACCTCCCCTCTCTCCATCTACTCCCACTTCCCCAATCTTAGCGCCACCCAGCAAGAGGGGATTCTTCTAACCAACTGACTTTAGACTTGAACTGCAACTCTTCCCTGAGTCTCCAGTCTGCCCATCTGCCTGCCCTTCAGATTTAGGACTTGCACCTTCATAATTGCATGAGTCAACTCCTTAAAATAAGTCTTTCTTCACATATACACATATAACCTGTTGGCTCTGTTTCTCTGGAGAATGCTGATTGACGCAGGGATGATCAGATTGGTTGTGCTATTGTAGAAGCAGTTTTCCTCCAGATGCTGATCTTGGCAGGGCAGATCCAGGTTTTGTGGGGCCTGAAGCTTATACAATGTCAGGGCCTTCTATAAGAAAAATGCATAAAGAATTATGGATATGCAATGACAACTTCGCATGTCTGACAAATGGAGGAATTTTCCAGACTCTTTTGGAATCATGCATTTTAAATCTTATTTCTTTTTCGCTACCCACGTAAGTTCAGAGCTGGCCCATAAGACGCACTCATAGTGTGATTCAACTTCTGGCCCTGCTCCTTCCCATCAGGATGCCAGGCAGCCTGGTGGCCACTCTTACACTGAGACAGACAGCAATAATTTCACTACTATGCAGAAAAAATATCCAACACTTGGAAGTGGATTATTTCACAGTATTTAAATTTAAAAAATTTTTAAATTTTTTTTGGAGACAGGGGTCTTTCCCAGGTTAGTCTCAAACTCCTAGCCTCAAGTGATCCTCCCACCTCAGCCTCCCAGAGCTGTGATTACAGGCATGAGCCACTGCACATGGCTGACATTTTAATAACATGCCTGTCTCACAGACATATAGCTCTCTTGGGGATTGTAACTTTCTCTGAGTCGCTCCCTACAAGCAAAGGTCTAAACAGTTAACAACTCTGAGAAGTTAGAGGTTAACTTGTAGAATACTGATAAGGTGGGAGGACATTTTTGTCCTTAATAGAGAAGATGCTCCAAATGTGATCTTATTGCTCCATAGGTTATTATTCAGTTATATACATAATTCAGTGTTATCAGTCTGCTTGGGTGGCCATAACAAAATACCACAGACTAGATAGCTTAAGCAATGAAAACTTATTTTCCAACAATTCTGGAGGCCAGAAGTCTGAGATCAGGGAGCTGGACTTGTACACATCCATACCAGTCATCACTGGCAAAGCACTACCTAGGAAAACATCAATTTTCAGGTGCTTCCAGCTCTCTGTGCTTGTGGACAGAGCTGCTGTCTTCAGGCAGTCAGTTTAAGTGGCTCACATGGCCTGTAGGATTCACTTCCAACATGGCTCACTCACATGGCTGACAAGACAAGGTGGTGCTGGCTGACAGCCTTTGAGAGGGGGTGAGGGGAGACTGAGTTTTTCTCCATGTGGGCCTCTCTATGGGGCCCCTTAGTCTTCACAGAATGTCATTTGAGTTCCAAGACTGGATGCGTTAAGAAACAGGAAGTAGAAACTGCTAGTTTCTTAAGTCTTAGGTCCAGAAACTGGCATTGAGGTATTCTATTCATTGGTGAAATTGCAAAACCCATACAGATTTAAAAGGAGAAGAAATAGACCCCATTTCTCTCAATAGATGAGAAGAAATTCATGGATCTTGATCTGTTACAATCTTCTGGACACAAAACTATTTACATCCCTCTTATATGCAATATACAATAACCCTCTTCTCAAGACCTCCAAATGTTCCATCTTGTTAAGCATCAGGCTCAAGCTGGAATCTAGGATAACTTAAAAATTATTTTTTAGTCAGGCAAGGTGGCTCACACCTGCAATCCCAGCACTTTGGGAGGCCAAGGCAGGTGGATCACTGGAGATGAGGAGTTTGAGACCAGCCGGTCAACATGGTGAAACCCCGTCTCTACTAAAAATACAAAAATTAGCCAGGCATGGTGATGCGTGACTGTAATCCCAGCTGCTCATGAGGCTGAAGCAGGAGAATTGCTTGAACCCGGGAGGTGGAGGTTGCGGTGAGCTGAGATCGCACCACTGCACCCCAGCCTGGTGACAGAACAAGACTCCGTCTCAAAAAAAATTTTTTTTGAAATTAATTTTAAGACAGGGTGTCACTCTGTTGCCCAGGCTGGAGTGTAGTGGCATGATCGCAGCTCACTACAGCCTCAACTCCCAGGCTCAAGCAATCCTCCTGCCTCAGCCTCCTGAGTCCCTAGGCATACAGGTGCTTGCCAGCACACTCAGATAATGCTGTTTTCTTTGTAGAGACAGGTCTCACTATGTTGCCCAGGCTGGTCTTGAACTCCTAGCCTCAAGCCATGCTCCTGTATCAGCCTCCCAAACTGCTTGAATTAGTCATGAGCCACCTTACTTGGCCCAGGATAACTTTTGATTTCCCATTCTGTGCCACACACCTACAACTACTGGATTGTAAAAGCTATGAAAGGACCTTCATCTGTCTTTTTAATTCAAACGAGTACTTGATCCATAATAAATGCTCTATACACATTTACTAAGTAAGTAATCTCATTTAACTCCCATTTTTCAACTTAAAAAAAACCAGACCCTAACACTCAGAGAGAATGTCAACTTCCAAAGGTTATGCAGTAATAGTAAAATCAGGATTTAAGGCCTATTTGACTTCAAATTCACTCTAAAAAGACGTTACATGGTCTGTAACTCAGGTGGAGGAAGGAAAGATGAGTTATAATAACAAGATGAGATGGCAAAGGCTAAGCTATTAGCTGTGGGCAGGAGCAGATGGTAGGTGACAGCTTGAAGAGGTCAAAATTTGGTGATTGTCCAAGTGTGGGAAGGACAGAAGTGGATAGAGTCAAAGATGATTTTTCAGACTCTGAGAGTAGGAGGGCAGGAGAATGATGAAATAGGCAGGGAGAGGGAACTGGACGTGAGGAGTTCAAGTTGATAAATGGGTGAACCAGCCTAGATCCAAGAGTCCTGCATATATAAATTTTAACTTTTAAATTTTCCTTTAAATTTTTGAAACTGTGGTAAATATACATAAAACCATTTTAACGAATTTTAAGTTCAGTGGCATTAAGTTCAGTGCAACCATCCTCACTATCTGGAAAACTTCTCCATCACCCCAAACTGAGACTCTGTACCCATTAAACAACTCTCAATTCCCTCTTCCTCCCAGCCTATAGCAACCACCATTCTACTTTGTATGAATTTGACTAGTCTAGGTACTTCATATAAATGGAATCATGCAATATTTGTCCTTCTGTGACTGATTATATCACTCAGCATGTCATCAAGATTCATCCATGTGGTAGCAAATGTTAGAATTTCAGTCCTTTTAAAGGCTGATTTTCCTGAAACTCTTGTGATTGGAAAAATAAAGGCTGAATATCCCATTGTATGTCTACATCACATTTTGTTTATTCATTCATTCTTTAATGGGCATTCGGGTTGTTTCCACATTTTGGCTACTGTGAATAATGCTGTTGTGAACTCTGGTGTCCAAAACCTGTTTCAATTCCTGTTTTGAGTGTATACCCAGAAGTGAATTTATTTACGCTGAAACGTTCTATTTAAATTATATCCTGTAGTAAGGTGCACACTCCTTTAATGAAGACAGTCTGCTAAAACTAGTTTCCCTAAGTCAACAGGGACCTCTCAAACTGTAATGTGAAAGTATCATTGCGTTTTTCTTTTGAGACACGGTCTGATTCTGTCACCCAGACTGAAGGGCAGTGGTGCAATCATAGCTCACGGCAGCCTGGGACTCTGGGATCAAGTGTTCCTCCTGCCTCAGCCTCCCAAATAGTTGGGACCACAGGCAGGCACTACCATGCCCAGCTAATTTCTTTTTTTGGGGGGGGTAGAGACGGGGTCTCACATTCCTGGGCTCAAATGATCTGCCCGCCTCCCGAAGTTCTGGGATTACAAGCAGGAGCCACTGTGCCGGGCCTTATACTTGAATTTTTGAAGCTTAATCTTTAGTTCTGTACTTCTTACCTATGGAACTAGACTCCCCCAAATACCAAAAACAAGATTGGTGTAATTTATCTTTCTGTTACCCTAAAGCTGTTAGCATAGTGCTTTGCATATAGGTGTTAAGTGTTGGAAAATACAGCTCCAATATATCATTTACGGCATATTAACAGGCTATTAATTCAGTAGTAAAAACACCAGCTTTTGCATCTTTTAAAATAGAAGTCAATCTTTTTTCCCCTGAAGAAGGCAGCTTCGTCCCTCCAGTCACCCTGTATACTCTTCCATCACATACAGGAAAGAAAGTACTTATATATATTAAGTAGTCTCCGGCGGGAAGAAGGGCAGGATACAATAACTTTTCTAAGAGATCGACAGTTCTATTCACAGCACTCGGGGAAAACTAGTTTGGGGGTGGCGGGTTGGGCGCTGGGAGCGGAAATGTTTTTCTAAGCGCAGGTGTCACTGGGCCAACTTCACTCAGCCTAGAGTTCTTAGCCTCGGTGGTCTGCTCTGGGATCCAAGCCGCCGGCTTCCTCGAGCGGAGTCTGGCTACTCCTCTTGCCGCCTTCCGCTGGCCGGGACCGTTTTTTAGGCCTTTGCCGCGCCTCGGGAGCGCTACCAACCCAACAGTCGCCCAAGCCCGAGCCGCCTTCCTGCTCGCGGTCTGGCTACGCGCTCAGAGCCGGGGGCCTCTGCCAACAGCCGCCGCGCCGGTACGGCATTCAGCCGCGGGTACGCGGCGCGGCGGACGCAGCGGTCCTCGCCAAGATTCGGGAGAGGATCTTAAAAATGGCTTCCGGGCATGCGCCACAGCTGCCGTTACGATACGCAAAACCGACGCCTCGGAGCCGAGAGCCTAGAGGGACGGGGCCCAGCGCATCATGGGGTTCGCGGGGCTCAGGGCTGACCGTGAGACTGCACGAGGCTGGCGAGCCCTTGGGGGCGGCCCAGGCTTAGGTGTGGGCGCAGGCGTGGCCGCGGCGGTAGCGTTACGCAGCTAGGCTGCGCGTGCGCGGGCGTGAGGGCGGCGCCCAGAGTTGAAGACGCTGGCGGCTCCGCGCCGAGCTTTGCTTTTCCGGTTGGGAGTGATTTTTACTGCAAGGTGATGGAAGCGACGGCCCGTACAAAGACAGAAGCGTTGGCTCCAGTGAGCACGGTTTCATACTACGAGTTGGCGACTAACAAGTTGCCTACATTTCAGACTAAAGTCTATTTGATGGAGACACGTGCAATAGAGAACCAAAATTTAAATTCAAGTTCGTGAGTGAATTGGAAAGATGTTGGATCATCTCTGGCTTATCAGGGGAATGTTTCCCTCCTCGAAATTTCATTTTGACCATGTGTGGAAAAACTGTTTTTGAAAAAATTTGAAGTTGAGGCTCTTAGCAATGAAATGGGCAGAACTCCTAAGATTGTTCCGTTTGTATCAAATTGAACTATTAATCATAGTAAAGGGAAAGAATGGGTGTTGCTCCTAACAGGGTTTGACGTAGTGAAAAGTTACGCTTTCTGAGCCTGCTTGCGAATGTCTGAAAAAATACTGGATACATTCTGTGGATTAAATGTGGTCTGCATTTAATCCACAGATTGACTATTGTGAATAATGCTACAGTGAACTTTGGTATGTAAATACCTGTTCAAGTCCTGCTTTCGTTTTTTTTGAGTACCCAGAGGTGAATTCGTTATTTACTTTTAAGCGTTCTGTTTAAATTATATACTGTAGTAAGGAGTAAGAAAGAGGCTTTCGTTCTTCCCTACTGAACTAGGCAGTTATTTCCTTCAGGTGTCTCTTTACAAAACGGTTTTGTAAAAAAACAAACAAAAAAAAACGTTTTTGAATTTATTACAGCTGAGTCAGTGCTGATTCTCTCAAATAGAGCCTGCAGGATAAATCTTCATTTTTGTTTCAACAAAGCGTGGAAACAAAATGGAAGAAAACAACCTACAGGTAATGCCACGCTTGTTAGCTGTTTATTTGACTCTTAAGAATTACCACCTGGGTGAGGCCGGTCATGGTGGCTCACGCCTGTAATTCCAGCACTTTGTGAGGCCGAGGTGGGTGGATCACCTGAGGTCAGCAGTTCGGGACCAGCCTGACCAATATGGTGACACCCCATGTCTACTAAAAATACAAAAAATTAGCTGGGCTTGGTGGCGGGCGCCTGAAATCCCAGCTACTTGGGAGGCTGAGGCAGGAGAATTGCTTGAACTCGGGAGGCAGAGGTTGCAGTGAGCCGAGATTGCACTACTGCACTCCTGTTTGGGTGACATTGTGAAAATCTGTCTCAAAAAAAAATAAAGAATTACTACCTGGATGTATTGTGAGATAATTGCAAGCAAACTTAATCACATTTAGGTCCTAACATTTCCTGGAGTGTTGGTTGAGGTAAACAAGAGTATACTTAGATGAAAGATTCACATTTGGTGTAAGTAAAATAAATGTTTTTATTTTTATCACTAGTTGTTAAAGTAGCAAAATCTATTTTAAAAACACTCTAAGTAGTGTTTTCCCAAATGTGATCGTGCATATGGATCACCAGGGAGTTTGATAAGCTGCAGGTTCTGTTTGAGGAGGTCTGGGGTGAGGCCCAAGCTTTTGTGTTTCTAAAGTTTCTAGGTGAAGGTGCCACTGGTTTGGAAACCACGCTGGGAGTATCTAGGTTGTAGCTCCCTGCTGTTCAGTACTACACATAGCAAGTGGGCGCTTGAAATGTGGCTAGTGGAACTAAGGAACTGAACTTTAACTTTTTTTTTTTTTTTTTTCAAAGACAGGGTCTTGCTCTGTTGCCCAGGCTGGAATGCACTGGCCCAATCACGACTCACTGCAGTGCTGACCACCTAGGCTCATAACTTCATTTTTAATTTTAAGTTTAAAAATGGATATTTGATTTCATTATTGGGGGAAAAAAGTATGTTTGGAATAATTTGGGTGTGTGAATGTAAATTTTAAATGTGAAGTTTTTGAAATCCAATACAGACAAGTATTTCTGATGAAAATTTTGGAATTGAAATGCAGAAGTACAAAATATATAGCACACTGGATTTGGAAGGCTTAATATGTAAAACAAGAATCTAAAATCTCACTTTTATATTGATTTTATATGGAAATTATATTTTTGACATATTGGGTTAAATATTCTAATCAATTCCAATTATAATTACAATTCTTGGGCTACAAGAAAATTGCCTACTTCTATTTTATCTTTATTGGACAGTGCTATACTAGATATCAAATATCCTCTGGAATATTTTATAATGGAACACAGTAACAACTGTTCCAGATTAATCTTATAAATTCTGTTTTTTCTTGGGGTCATGTTAAAGAAAAAATTAGTCTGACTTTATTGAAGACTGTTGCAGTAAGGACATTGCAAGGATGAAGAATTTGACCAGTTATGAAGGGTGATTAGATATCAGGGGTAGAAGATTCTGCCTAAACTGACATAGAAGTGTTCTTGTTAAAATTGGGCTAGGCAGCCCAAAGACCAGTTTGGGGCCAGGATTGAGGTCTATTCAAGAAGATGGCTCAGAAACCTGACTAAAATTTGGTCAGGGAGAGAGTCTTTTGCTGTTCTGGTGGAATGTTTCTGCTGATGCCCACCTACTCAGGAGGCTGAGGTGGGAGGATTGCTTGAGCCCAGGAGTTTTAATCTAGCCTGGGCAACACAGTAAGACTCCATTTCTCTTAAAAAGAGAAGAGTGTTGGCTGGGCATGGTGGCTGACGCCTGGAATCCCAGTGCTTTGGGAGGCCAAGGCAGATGGATCATGAGGTCAAGAGTTCAAGAAGAGCCTGGCCAACATGGTGAAACCTGTCTCTACTAAAAATATAAAAATTAGCCGGGCATAGTGGGGTGTGCCTGTAATGTAATCCTGGCTACTCAGGAGGCTGAGGCAGTAGAGAATTTCTTGATCCCGGGAGGGAGGCAGAGGTTGCAGTGAGCCGAGATTACACCACTGCACTCCAGCCTGGGTGACAGAACAAGACTCTTGTCTTGAAAAAAAAAAAAAAAAAAAAGTGTAAGAGTGTGTGTGCGTGTGTCAGTCATTATAAATATTTTTCAGCCTCCTGTCTATCTGGACCACAGGCTTTGGCAACTCACTCCACAAAAGGTCCCTTGTGGTTTGGAGGCTTCTAGGTTGTTTTCATTGAATATATTCATTAGTAATGTTCCCTTCAGCTGAAACTAAGCTATAGGGAGCATAGAGCCAGATTCTCACTTATTAAAAGGCATGAAAGGATGCTTAGATGAACTGTGGAGGAAATAGTGCTCCCGAATGATTTTAGGACAAGGGGTATGTGAAGGCCAGTGTGTTTTTTGAAGTGATTGGGGGAAATTAAGGGTTTTCTTTATTTAATTTCTGAAGTCATGCATGATTTAGAACCCATCTTTTTTTGTTTGTGAACTTCAGTGCAATAGTGTGGTTGATGGTAATTTTGAAGAAGTTCCCAGGGAGACGGTAATAAAGTTTAAACCTCCACTATACAGGCAGCGGTACCAGTTTGTTAAAAATTTAGTGGAGCAACATGAGCCCAAGAAGGTAGGTATTTTTTCTCTTTCCAAACATTCAATTATTAAGACTAGTAGACTAGTCTTATGAGGTGGTTTGTCAAATGCATTAGTGTGGAGAGACTTTTCACAGGGATTATTGCAATAGAAAGAATGCCGTAACCACAAGATCTGCAAGTGTCTCAAGAGTTGAGCCAAAGGGATTTTTCCTTTACTAGAGAAGTGAACAAAGTTAGAAACTAGGGAAGTGGGATGAAAGGGTGGTTTGAAAGGACAGTAGAATGGGGAGCCTTAAGGAGGGGGCTGTTTCCTCAGGCCAAAGTTCAGGGCCCTGGGGGAAAGAGAAAAGTTCAAATAAAGTATGGTTAAAAAAGAAATTTTCTTCCCATTGATTAATGGGGACAAGTATTCATACCAGTCATTTGAGGCAAAGAATGCAAACACAAGGGATCTTACCTAAGTTTTATGGAGAAGGGTGGTTCTTTGCAGTGAGCCCTTTCCTGGAACACAGAGCGTAGATGGATTCCTTTAATAGATGCCAGAAACACAGGGCTCAGGTAGAGTTCCGTATTGCCAGGTTCAAATGTGAAGAAAATCTTGAGATTTTGTAGTGGGGTATGATCTTGTAGGTACCATATTTCTAGAGCTAAATGCTCTAAAAATACCAGGCAAACTGGTATTGTAGCCACAGGTATTGTGGTTCTTTTAAAATTAGATGATAATGGGCTGGGTGTGATGGTTCGCACCTGTAATTCCAGCACTTTGGGAGGCTGAGGCAGCTGAATAGCTTGAGACCAGTCTGGCACCATAGTGAGACCCTGTCTCTACAAAAAGTAAAATTAGCTGGGCATGGTGGTATGTGCCTGTAGTCCCAGTTACTCAGGAGGCTGAGATGGGAGGATCCCTTGAGCCCAGGAGGTTGAGGCTGCAGTGAGCTGTTATCACCTGCACTCCAGCCTTGGCAACAGAGCAAGATCCTGTCTCAAAAAGAAAATGAGATCATAGTGAGCCTTCTCAATTAATTTCAGAGTAAAGGCATAATTGCATACCATCTACATACATATATTCATACCTGGTTACTATACTAATGGATTGGATATGAACTAGATGCAGGTAAGGTGAATTTCTAGATGAAAGCTTTCTTTTTCTGCTTGATGTTGAAGACTCAGTGAAGATTCCTGTGTGTAAAGGTTTTCCTTAACTGCACCACTATTGTTTCACACTTGCACACCAAGGTGCAGGTATTAGTTTACATCTCTGTGGCCATCTAGGCATGTGTATTCAGGTAAGGCATCTAAAATTGGCTTTTTGGCAGCTCAAAGTTCGGTATGGAATTTCAGATGGTTTGAGGTAATTGTTTAATCAAATTAATGTTTGAGGGATGAAAGCAAAGTTTTAGAAAGCTTCGTTTGCTGAAATATGCTGAGAATATTTAAGACCCCAAATTCTGATTCTGAATGGGAAAACAGTATGTACCTAATTGTTTTTTATTAGTTCAATATAGGCAATAATAGTCGTTCTGGAATAGGAGTGGAACTTTCTGTTTTACTGTGATCAAATAGAAATTTGTCCATGGGCTTATAAAGTCTCAGATTAATTTGTTTTTGTGTGTATGTGTAGAATCTTCTACCAAAAAATCCTTCCATATAATGGCTTTATTATTTTATTACTGTTATGTACTCCCCTCTCTCCTCCTCAGAAATAAAAGTTTTTGATCATACTTTTCTGGCTGTAAATGTCTTTGAAATAACATTCTGTCTCATCTACAGGTTGCAGACCTGGGATGTGGTGATACTTCACTCTTAAGGCTGCTAAAAGTCAATCCATGCATTGAATTCCTTGTTGGAGTAGATATTAATGAGGATAAATTACGATGGAGAGGGTAATACCTAGTTTCTGAAAGAATTATTCATTAATATAAAACTAATGACATTAATTGAGTTTAGAGAAAGTGTTGATTTTATATTTGTCTTAAAAGATTGGAGATATTAAGGATCTGCAACTCACTGAATAATCAGGATTTGCCATAACACTAACAATACCTGTATTTTATTGCTACCAACTTAAAGTATAGCGTCAATTAAATGATTATAATAGTAGAAGCATTGCAAATTCAATTTCAGATATTCAAATTCAGTTTCAAAATCTCATCACTTTAATGCTAAACACTATGATAATTTATACCATAAATGTTCTGAGGATTTAAAATTCCCCAGAACACTAAGGCCAAGGCTCCAGGCCATCGCCTCCATTTTGAACCATAGCATTTCTCCTATCTCTTGTGTATATAGCATATATACATTAGATTTCCACAGTTTGCTTTAAGAATGATCTTCTAAAGAACAAAAATCTGAAAATCAGTGAATCAAACTAAAGCTGGAAAACCAAAACTATTACAAATGGAAACAATATAACAGTATTAAATATTCAAAGTCTTTTTCTCACTGGCCAGTAACTTCTCATGTGACAGGAAGTTTCCCTATGACTTGGTATTTAATATATCAAGACAAGGAAAACAGGCTGTGTCAGACTTATATCAACATAGGTAGAAGATAATCATCAGAGGATCTGAGTTCTGTAGCTGGTGAGAATTTTTAAATAGATCATGTTCAGAATGTTTCTTCAATAATTATTTTGCAGTGATACGTTAGCTCCTTTGATGGGTGATTATCTGAAACCTCGGGATCTAAATTTGACCATCACATTGTATCATGGGTCTGTTGTGGAGAGAGACTCTCGTTTGCTTGGATTTGACTTGATAACGTGTATTGAACTGTAAGTTTTAAACTGATTTATACTGTATAATTGTTCATTTGAAAAACCTGAATAAGTCTGAGTGATCTTAGTGTCCTAAATACTTAGGTCTTAATTATTATTTGTAAAGAAAACTGCTCATTGGTTAGAGATATCTTTTTACTCTTCTTTTCCAACATTTTACTTAGAAATTTCAAGTATACAGATAAATTGCCATAAATACATAGTACCAAGAATACCTATACCCCCTTTATCCAGATGTTAACACCTTCCTCACTTTTAAAATCATTTGTACATTCCACCCTCCTTCTCTTGTTCCTCCCACCTCCATCTCCCTGTAGAGTTATTTTTTCTCTGAATCAATTAAGGGTATTCATGTGGCCCTTTGCCGCTACTAAAAAATTCAGTTTAAAAAGTTGGAGACCTGACACTACCTGATTCAAAATGTACTACAAAGCAGCAGTAATCAAAACATCATGGTTCTGGTATAAAAGCAGACATATAGACCAATGGAACAGAATAGAGAGAACCCACAAATAAATCCATGCATTTTCAGCCAACTGATTTCAACAAAGACAGCAAGAACAGGCATTGGCAAAAGGACACTGTCTCCAATACATGGTACGGGGAGAACTGCATATGCATATGCAGAATGAAATTAGACCCCTATCTCTCACTGTATACAAACATCAAGATGGATTAAAGAGTTAAATGCAAGACCCAAAACTATAAAAGTACTAGAAGAAAACAGGAAATGCTTCAGGACATTGGTCTAGGCAAAGATTTTGAATAAGACTACAAGAGCACAGGCTACAAACAGAAATACACAAATGGGACTATATGAAACTAAAAGGTTTCTGCACAGCAAAGGAAAGAATGGAGTGAAGAGAACCTATAGATTGGAGAAAATATATGCAAAGTATTTGTCAAGGGGTTAATATACAAGGCCCTCAACAGCAAAACCCCAAAACTCCAAAATAATTAAAAAATGGGCAAAGAACCTGCCCAGACATTTCTCAAAAGGCATACAGATGGTTAACACATACATGAAAAAAACGCTAAAATCACTAATCATCAGGGAAATGTGAATCAAAACCACAGTGAGATATTTCACCCCATTTAGAATGGATGTTATTAAAAAGACAATGCTGGCAAGGATGCAGAGAAAGGGACCTCATATAAATTGGTTGGAATGTAAATTAGTACAGCCATTATGGAAAACAGGTTTTAAAAACTGAAACACTAACTTCAAGGAGGATATATTAAAGTATGAATGATGAGAGCAAAATACCTACAAGTAGATTTTCTTATTGCCTGTTGCTGTTCTAAACTTTATATATGGCTTCTTTGTTCTTCTATTTTTTTTCCTATAGCTAATATGTACCAGGCAATAGAAAAAAAACACTACTAACTCTGCTCTGGAGGACCAGTACATATTACTAAAAACTGGGCGCAGTGGCTCATGCCTGTAATCCCAGCACTTGGGATGGCTTAGGCAGTTTTGAGAGGCTGTTTCATTTTTCAAAAAACTGAAAATAGAACTGCCATATGATCTAGCAATCCCACTACAGGGTATTTATCCAGAGGAAAGAAGTCAGTTATATTGAAGAGATATCTGCACCCCAGTGTTTGTTACAGCACAGTAGGCAGGATATGGAATCTACCTAAATGTTCATCAGCAGATGAATGGATAAAGAAAATGTGGTATATAGGCCAGGCGCAGTGGCTCACACTTGTAATCCCAGCACTTTGGGAGGCTGAGGTGGGTGGACCACCTGAGGTCAGGAGTTTAAGACTAGCCTGACCAACATGGAGAAACCCTGTCTCTACTAAAAATACAAAAATTAGCCAGTCATGGTAGGGCATGCCTGTAATCCCAGCTACTCTGGAGGTTGAGACAGGAGAATCTCTTGAACCTGGGAGGTGGAAGTTGCAGTGAGCCAAGATTGCGCAATTGCCCTCCAGCCTAGGCAACAAGAACAAGACTCCGTCTCAAAAAAGAAAATAAAAATCCCTTTGTATTTCCTTGCATCTGCTCATTTTGAGTTTCATTTGCTGTGTTTTCCTAACTTCTTGAAATAAATACTTAGCTCATTTAATTTCAGCTTTTCTTATTTTCCAGTGTCTGATAAAGCAGTAACTTTCCCTCTAATTATGTTATGTTTGTAACCACAGATTGTGGTTATGTTAGGTAGTATTTGTACTGGTGATGCAAAGAAGTCAAGTAGAATAAGAAGATTTGGCAGCTTGAAGACCATTACTCACTAATGAAACAGGTCATCAGTTCTCCTTCAGTGCTTCTTCCTATAACTGGATCAAAGGTCATGATGTTTCTGCCCATCACCATCCTGCTGAGAAATAGAGGCCTAGTGGTGATATGGGTCCTTGCAGCCTGTGGAAGGAGATTGTCTCTCTACAGCTTAATGTGGCTCCTAATTTTCTTTTTTTTTTTTTTTTTGAGACTGAGTCTCACACTGTCAGCCAGGCTGGAGTGCAGTGGTGCCATTTCGGCCCACTGCAGCTTCTTCCTGGATGCAAGTAATTCTCCTGCCTCGGCCTCCTGAGTAGCTGGGATTACAGGTGCCCACCACCTCGCCTGACTAATTCTTTTGTATTTTTAGTAGAGATGGAGTTTCACTATGTTGGCCAGGCTGGTCTCGAGCTCCTGACCTCGTGATCTGCCTGCCTCAGCCTCCCAAAGTGCTGGCATTACAGGTGTGAGCCACCACACCCAGCCAGCTCCTAATTTTCTTGGGAATTGCATAGAAGCTCAGGCCTGTGTGAACCATTTTTGTCAGTATCCAGTTTCCTTAGGATATACTGACTTAGATGGGATGGCAGCAAAACTTTGTCAGATCCTGTTTTGGTAATATTTAGTTGTTATATAATTACAAAGTTATAGAAGTTGCAGGATGGGTCCAAGGAATTCTCTCCCTGTTCTTTACCTAGGTTTACCACTTGTTTATAGTTGATCCTATTTAGTTTGTCTTTTTCTCTAAATATAGTTTTCTACATGTATTTTATTTATCTCAACCATCTCAGAGTAGGTTGGGTATGTTGCATCCTGTTGCTCCTAGATACCTCGGTAAATATTTTCTAAGAACAAAGACTTCTTACCATGACCACATAACTCTGTCAGGAAATTTAACATTGATATAGTACTATTACTTCATCTAAGTCCATATTCAGCATTCAGCATTTGTTCCAGTAATGTTTTTCTATAGCTATTTTTAAATTTAGCTATAATTTAAAATGGCCCAGGATCACACAATGCATTTAGTTGTCATGTTTGCGTGGGCTCCTTTAATCTGAAGCCAGTCTGTGCAGCCTTTCTTCTTGGTCCTATTTGCCCTTGATATTTCTGAAGAATATGTGCTGTTTTCTAGAATGCCCCTCAATCTAAGTGTCTCCTCATTATCAAATTCAGGGACTGCATTTTTGACAAGAGTATCATAGAAGTGATATTGTCCTCACTGATGCCTTATATCAGGGAGGTTTAACCTCAGAGACTTTTTTTTAGAGGTATTGATAATGAAGCTGTAGAGCACAGCAAAGGACCTTAGTTGGATAAGGGAACATCACAGGTGCAGTTGGGGGGTAGGAAAGGATGAGAATATATGAATAATTGTTCTTTCCTTTCTTTTTTTGAGACTGAGTTTTGCTCATCACCCAGGCTGGAGTGCAGTGGCACAATCTCGGCTTACTGCAACCTCTGCCTCCTGGGTTCAAGCAATTCTTCTGCCTCACCCCCCTGAGTACCTGGGATTACAGGCATGTGCCACCATGCCCAGCAAATGTTTATATTTTTAGTAGAGATGGAGTTTCACCACGTTGGCCGGGCTGGTCTCGAACTCCTGACCTAAGGTGATCCATCCATCTTGGCCTCCCAAAGTGCTGGGATTCCATGTGCGAGCCACTGCGCCCAGCCTGAATAATTGTTCTTAGGTCATGTAAGCATTGTTACGTATTGAAAGAAGGGAGAAATTGATATACATATGGAAATTGTTTTTGATAAATCAATTAGAAAAATAGGTGCAAGTGAAGCTAGATTTTATTATCTTTCTCATTAACCATTTTAGAATAGAACATTTGGATTCAGGTGATCTGGCCAGATTTCCTGAAGTGGTATTTGGGTACCTGTCTCCATCCATGATTGTCATCAGCACACCAAACTCTGAATTCAATCCCCTGTTCCCCTCAGTGACCTTAAGAGATTCAGATCATAAATTTGAGTGGACCAGAATGGAGTTTCAAACCTGGTAAGTTCAGAAGGCCTTTTGTTTATTTGGGATTCTGTGGGAGTTGAAAATCTTAGGAAATAAATGTTGATATACATATATTGCCTAAATTGTTTTGTACTTTCGTCCAATAAGGGACCATTGCATTTGGGCAGTACAGAAAGGGCGTGTGGTCATTTGGGCAAGCGTGGAGAGGGTGTGTGGTCACTTTTATGTGAAGGCATCTGTAGTATTGGCATGGAGATGAGGAACAAAACAGAGGGAAGGTTTGGGGCAGTGAGAGTGAGCCTCAGGCCCCTGCCCCGGGGTATCTCCTGGGGATTGGTCATATTTTTTGGTGTAATTGCAAACCCAAATGGGTAGCTGGGTTGAGCCCCTGTGGTTTCCTTGTTCACCCCTACACCCTGTCCATAATGTTCCTTTTCTCTTCCATACTCTTAGGGTGAATTGGAAACTGATACTATATCCTTGCTTTGATTTGTCATAGAAATAAATACACTAGTGGTTAGGAATTTGAAACTTGGAAGTATTTATGTTCTTTGTATTTTTCATGTTCTGTTGTACTGCTGACCAGACATGGTTCTTTATTTAACAGTAGCTCTACATTTAGACAAATGATTGCTGTCCTCGTTTTGATTTCAGGGCTTTATATGTGGCAAATCGCTATGATTACTCCGTAGAGTTTACTGGTGTTGGGGAACCACCAGCTGGAGCTGAGAATGTTGGATACTGTACCCAGATAGGAATCTTCCGGAAAAATGGAGGAAAGGCAATGGAATCGTGTGTTTCAGAGCAGCATGATCAGCATGTTTATAAAGCTGTGAGTACTCTTTGTGAGGTACCTATCAGGGCTAGAGATACATTAGGGTGGTGAACTTTTTTGGGGGTAAGAATCCCCAAAGTAGAGATAAGTGTAAATGACCTTGCTTTGTGGTTCACCCTAGGAGAAATTTTCAGGCCCCATATCTACTATCAGAGTTAGCCTATGGTATCCTTTTGGACTGCCTGGCCTTTTGCTATGTTTCAAGGTGCATTAAGGGCAATGGCCTGCTGGAGTCGTCTTAGAATACTTCAGAGCAGCTGGGTACAGTGGCTCACACCTGTGATCCTAGCACTTTGGGAGGCCAAGGCAGAATGATTGCTTGCACCCAGGAGTTCGAGGTCAGCCTAGACAACATAATGAGATCTCTATCTCTACAAAAAAACACCTAGAATACTTCAAAGCAGTACTTCAGCAGACTCTTTTTGTAATCTGTTTGAATTATCAGTAGTAACAAGGAAAGCCAGCAGCAGTTCCTCTCCAGTTGGCTTAGGACATGACTCTTAGGACTGAACCTACAAACTTCTTAGACCCTTTGGGTTTAAAGAGGCAAGAAGAAGAAACACATCCTCCCATTCTTTGAAAAATGTATTTAATTAGGAACAGCGTCTTGTTCTGTCACCCAGGCTGGAGTGCACTGGAACAATCATGGCTCACTGCAGCCCTGAATTCTTGGGCACAAGCAATCCTCCCACTTGAACTTTCCAGGTAGCTAGGACTATAGGCATGTACCACCATGCTCAGCTAATTACTTTTTTTTCCATAGAGACTGTGGGTCTCACTATGTTGCCCAGGCTGGTCTTGAACTTCCATCCTCAAGCAATCCTCCTGCCCAACCCTCCTAAAATGCTGAGATTACAGCTGTGAGCCACTGCACTTAGTCACATTTTCCCTTTGAACCATTGTTCGTTTTTTGGCCTTTCCCCTGTAATACCAAGTAGGAATACTGGGTTTGTGTGACTTCGTAGAAACTTGGCTGGGAGACATTGAGCATCAGCATCAGATAGTTAATATCTGTGTGTCAGTAATTTGATTCCCATTGTAATTGAGGCATGTATGATTAGTAGGATCTGACATATATTCAATATGTACATTTATTCTTACATGGCAAAAAAGTTATTGATGGCTTTGAAAATTTTTCCATATTCTAAGTTGTTTTTTCCCTTTAGGTTTTTACCACCTCGTACCCGAGCTTACAGCAGGAAAGGTTCTTTAAACTTGTGTTGGTTAATGAGGTGTCCCAACAAGTGGAAAGCTTGAGAGTAAGCCACCTGCCACGGCAGAAAAAACAGGATGGGGAATGGGATGATACACCCAAAGACTCACAGGCCTCCAGCCCATGCTTTGGACCAGTGTTCACAGAGGTTGAGAAAGCCAAGATAGAGAACTCTCCCAAACCCTTCTGTGTTGGAGATAAATTTTTTGTACCTCTGCAGAGACTCCTTGCTTATCCCAAGTTGAACCGCTTATGTGCTAACGAAGAGATGATGAGATCGGGCATTGCTGACTCAATTCCTCTGAGCAGTGATGGTTCTGCCGTGGTGGCTGACCTGCGTGATTATTCTGATGAGCAGTTTTGAGTTTTAAACCATCTTTATTTCCTGAAATACAGGGTCTCAGCAATAGTTGTGTTCACTTAGAATTTAGGTGTTTGTGTGTGTGTGCATGTGTAGTCCGAATTCAAGTAATGTTTTTAAAGTTTCAGTGCAAAAGTCTATGTTCCAAGCCATTGGACAGAACTGCTTGACATATGGCCAGACTGCAGTAAGCCCTGAGAAAGATATTAGGGTTTAACTAAAAACAGGTGCTTTCCTTTGATCTTGGACTTTTTTTCCCTCAAGAATAAAGAAAAGTTGGATGTGGTAACATCATGTTGATTTTGAGCTTAGCTATATTTTTTGTGTTAAGAGCCATGAGTTGATTGTTTCATTAGTCTGTTCTCACATTTTTGTGAAGAACTACCTGAACCTGGGTAATTTCTAAAGAAGAGAGAGACTTAATTGACAGTTCTGCAGGCCGTACAGGAAGCATGGCTGGGGAGGCCTCCGGAAACTTACCATCTTGGTGGAAGGTGAAGGGGAAGCAGGCACATCTTATATGGCTGGAGCGGGAGGAAGAGAGCTCGGGGAGGGCCTACACACTTTTAAACAACCAGATCTCATGAGAGCTCACTATCACAAGAACAGCAAGGAGGAAATCCGTCCTATGACCCAGTCACCTCCCACCAGGCCCCTCCTCCAACATTGGAGATTACAGTTTGACATGAGATTTGGGCAAGGACAGAAATCCAAACCGTATCAATCATGATATTAAGAATTGAAGAGAAAGTATTCAAAACCTTTTCCCTGAGGTAAGAGTAGCTTTAAAATCTTTCTAGGATTCTCTGTCTCCTTTGTGCCAAATTCTAACCTGCGTAATATTTAGCCTAGAACATCAACAAAACAGGAATGAATGTAGGTGCTTGGAGGGCACAGAAGCCTCTTCATGACGTAATTGCTGTCCATGTTTTTTTTTTTTTTTTTCTTTTTTTGTGACAGGGTCTTGCTCTGTTACACAAGCTGGAGTGCAGTGGCACAATTATGGCTCACTGTAGCCTCAGCCTCTGGGATAAAATAAGTCTCCCATCTCACCCCCTCCCCACCAGTAGCTTGAATTACAGGTGTGCACCACCATGCCCAGCTAATTAAAAAAATTGTAGAGATAGGGTCTCACTATGTCACCCAGACTGGTCTTGAACTTCTGGGCTCAAGTGATCCTCCTGCTTCAGCTTCCTGAAGTGCTGGGATTGTTTTTTGAGCACCTTCTTCTCAGGAACTTCCTGGTTGGAATTGGCGTGGTAGTACTAATGGGAGAAAGAAACATAGCTTCACCTCCTGGGGGGAGAAATGGTAGTTTAAACGAGAGGCATTTCTTAGGCACAGTAGTCTAGAGGTAAGCCCCAGGCATGGGGGCTCTGCCACTTTAGGGACCCAGAGGTCCATCTTGCATGTTGTGGCTATTTAGGCATGCCATCTAGGGACAGAGTTTGAGCTCTGGTTACCACTTTTCATATTCTAAAACAGCAAGCAGAAAGAAGGGACAAAGGGCACACACAAGCTGTCTGGTAAGGCTTGCTTTGAGTTGTTACGCAACATGACTGTTTCCTGTTGACCAGAATGAAGTCTTCAGCCCACACATAGGGAAGCTGGTGTGTTAGTTTATTCTCGCATTAAAGAAAAGAGGCTTATTGGCTCATGGTTCTGCAGACTGTATAGGAACCATAGAGGCTTCTGCCTCTGGGGAGGCCTTAGGAGACTTCCAATCATGGCAGAAGGCAAAGGGTAGGGTGTGAGGTGTCTTACCTGGGAGCAGGAGCAAGACAGAGTGAGGTGGTGGTGCTACACACCTTTAAACAGATCTCTGGAGGACTCTTAGGCGAGACACGCACCAAAAGGATGGTGCTAAGCCACTCACGACGGGTCTACTCCCATGATCAGTCACTTCCCACCAGGCCCTACCTCCAACATCGGGATTACAGTTTGACATGAGATTTGAGAATGGGCACAGATCCAAACCATATCAGCTGGCAAGTGCAGTCTTTATTCTGGGAGGCCATGTGTCTACTTGGCCTGCCAAGGAACAAGGGAAGAAGGAACATCTGTGCCACAGCTGGGACATCCTGACCAGTCTGGTATGGGGGCTGTGCCAATGCAGAGAGTTGGTGCTGGGAGAGGGCTGGGGCCAGTCATTCTCAAGCTGAGTTTCCAAGGGTTAATAATAAAGTAGAAGGGAAGGGGATTTGGTGAGCAGGGAGAGAATGAAAGGATTCCGGTGAAAACAGTCTCTTAATCACATTACGTTGCTAAACCAGCTCTTTCTTTCCTTGAATTTCTAATACTGCTATCAGACTTCCGCAATGAATGCTCAAAGGTACATGTGAGCAAGAGATTTGTAGCCTCATCTCATTCCTGCCCTCAAAGTCCCTCTGCCTGTCTTCACCTTTCTAGGCCTCTGCACAGTTTTCACTCTAGACTTCCCTTATCATTGCTCTTCTGTGGTAGAGCCAGTGGTTCTAGCCAAGACCAGCCCTTTCTCCGAACTTTCTTGAACATTAATCAGTTAACTTTGTTCTAGCCTAATCACTGGAGCCGCCACGTGGAAACCTTTTAAGTGCTCATGACTGCCATGGGGGCTGGAGCCACTCTTTTCCATGGCCCTCCTGCTATCTCTGCAACTTCTGTACCTAGATTGTTCGTGAGAAGTTTGTCTTTCCCCCAACCTGGATACAGGCCTTTCTTTGCACACTGAAAGGCTCATTAATACTCGAGGCTAGGGGTTGCCAAATGTGCTAATGGGGCTGGATAGTAAATCTTTGCAGGTGATCCAGTCTCTATCACAATTATTCAACTCTGCCTCAGTCAAAGCCACCACAGACAATAAGAAAACAAGTGGGCTTAGCAGGAGACAGTTTAATCTACAATCTTCTTTGAGAGAACGTTCTCAGTGCCACTGCCCACCTCCCAGACTAGATATGAAATCTGCGCTACCAGGTATTGGAACCTCCCTGGCTCTTGAGATCTGAATATGATTTGCCTCCAACTCCTATTTCCGTGGTCTGGGCAACTCCAAAACTCTGTGACTTCTATGATTTCCTAAAAGCTTAAGTTATCACAGCACTGCCTGCCTTCAAGTTCAGTTCCATACAACTGAGATGTGAATCTCAGCCTCTTCTATGCTGCTCCGAGACGACTCCTCACCAGCAGCAGCTCTCAGCTCATCTTCTCCAGCTGCCCTTGCTCGCCCCACCCTCTCCCCTCCTCTCTAGTGACTGCCAACCTCCCCCTCTACAGCACCACCCAGCTCCCTTGAAGTGTTCTCAGCCCTCAGTTCCACCAGTGATTATCAGGGGAGAACTCCAAATAAAGGCCATTCTCTCAACTAGAGTTTGGGTGCCAAGAACACTAAATCTTTATCTCGTTACGCCTGGTCCTGTGGAGATTGTGTGTGTTGAGCAGTTGACAGGAAGTCAGGGACTGGGCAGCGTCAGCAGTGGTAATGTGAAGTCTTTTGAAGACAGAACTGTGGGTTTCTGCCTGCATGGAGGATGCTAGGTGCTAACTACAGCAAACATGGCTTATCATTATATAAGTGCACCCTGAAAATCTGAGACAGGTCTCAGTTAATTTAGAAAGTCTATTTTGCCAAGGTTGAGGACACACTCCCATGACACAGCCTCAGGAAGTCCTGACAACATGTGCCCACGATGGTCGGGGCACAGCTTGGTTTTATACATTTTAGGGAGACGGGAGACTAATCAATGTATGTAAGAAGTCCATTGGTTCTCTCCAGAAAGGCAGGGACAAGTCAGAGCAAGGAGGGGGCTTCCAGGGCACAGGTAGTTGAGAAACAAATGGTTTCATTTTCTGAGATTCTGATAAGCCTTTCCAAAGGAGGCAATCAGATACGCATCTATCTCAGTGAGCAGAAGGATGACTGAATAGAATGGGAGGCAGGTTTGCCCTGAGTAGTTTCCAGCTTGAATTTTCCTTTTAGCTTAGTGATTTTGGGGGCCCAAGATATTTTCCTTTCACATATATGATGCACATCCTTGGCAATATCTAGAAAAAGGGGACACTGGCTGGGTGCGGTGGCTCACATCTATAATCCCAGCACTTTGGGAGGTCGACACGGGCGGATCATGAGGTCAGAAGACTATCCTGGCTAACCCAGTGAAATCCTGTCTCTACTAAAAATACACAAAAAAATTAGCTGGGGTGATGGCACACACCTGTAGTCTCAGCCACTCAGAAGGCTGAGATAGGAGAATCACTTGAACCTGGGAGGCAGAGGTTGCAGTGAGCCGAGATCACACACCACTGCACTCCGGCCTGGGTGACAGGGTAAGACTCTGTTTCAAAAAAAAAAAAAAGAAAAGAAAAGAAAGAAAAAGGGGACACCTGGGAATATTGCTGAGGTCTAGCAAACAAGTTGCTAGGAGCTGGAAGTCAGAAATCTGTACAGTAAATGTTAAATACAAGCTTTTGAAGCCAGCAGCATATGTCATATACCTTTATCTTGAAAGTTAATTCATGCCCTCTATTTCTCTATTGGGTTCTTAATGAGGTTCCTGCTGAATTGTGTGCACTCTGCCTGCACACTTTTGCCTCCATTGCTGCAACAATCTCATTTCTGTCTGCTCCACTTCATCCTGCATGCTGTGACCCAAGCTAGAATTTATCAGATGAAGCTGTGATCATTTTATTGTCTTCCCCAGCAATACAACTCCCTGCTCCTACACATCACCCTTGACCCATCAGAGCCTTTACTTTCACTGAACAGGCTCTGTGTTTTCTCACTGCTGTGTCCTGCCTGGCCCTGCACGTATGATGCCCATGAAGTGCTTTTGGGTAGAAATCTTCATGGAACTGTACTTATAGAATCTTTCATTAATCTCACGCCAAAGGAAACAATGTTACTTTATTTAAGCAAAATGTGCAATGCTTCAAAGTCTGTTGAAATTATTTCAAATTTTAAAAATTACTGAAAAGGTACAAAATGTGTTTTTCCTTTGGTCTAAATTTCATGAAATACATGTGAATAGGAGCAGATAGGATCACTTAAGACAGGTAGACTTGAACTGAATCAGCAGACATTCAATGCCAGACGGTGGCGCACTTCTCCTATTTTAAGTAGCTGCACATACTTGCTTTAAGGATTCCCCAATGTAAGATTCAAAAACAAAGATGCCAAAAAATTTTAGGCACGCCGGCTTTCTGCAGAGGTTTGAGGTTTTCTACAATGCATACACTAAGGAAAAAGACTGTTGAACTGGTTTGAGGATCTGCAGGGAAGTCAATTTCATAAGTAACAGTTGAGGTGATATCTCAGCCTATCTGGGTTATAAATGCATGGGAAGGAGGTCTAAACATTCATTTGGGAAATTCTCTGACAGTTCCTATTAAATAGGTTCACATGGGATAGAGATCACTGACCCAGGGAATGTCTGAAATTATGCCTGTTTAGGTTTCTTTCTTTCTTTTTTTTTTTTTTTTGAGATAGTTTCACTCTTGTTGCCCAGGCTGGAATGCAATGGCGTGATCTCAGCTCACCGCATCCTCTGCCTCCCAGGTTCAAGTGATTCTCCTGCCTCAGCCTCTCAAGTAGCTGGGATTACAGGTGTGAGCCACTGTGCCTGGCCTAGGTTTCTTAACTTTTTGTTTCACTTTGTATAATGTGAAACGGATTAGCTCCACCAGTGATTTCCTACCTATCATACAAATGGAAGAAAAGATTTAATTATGTGCTGCTACCAGGTAAGTGATACATAGGTACAGGAAGTGAAGAAGTGAAAACAGGTGAAAGAGAAAGGGAAAGACCAAGAAAGAGGAAGAAAACCACTAGATGTGGAAGAAAGGTGGGCTAAGTCGAAACAAGAAGGCTGGGTCTGAGAATTCTATTCTGGAGATGTGGGCAGTGTCTGAGGGGGCAGATCAGAGTCCTGCCAGGTTCTGCTGTGATCTGGTACAAAGTTTTCCTGGGTGATCCTCTCTAATGGGAGAAGTGTGGAGGGTTTCCCCTAGAGTGTCCATACCTACTCTGTCCTGACAAGTCTCTTTAGTCACATAACCTTTTAAAATCTGCACTGTCCAGGGAGGCCCTTACAATCTGCAGAGGAGAAACTGGGTTCAGACTGACATTAAACCATAGTTCTTTTTTTTTTTTTTTTAAGATTCAACAAAAAATGTTTATTTTCCAAATTTGCTTTTACTCCCACCCCAAAATTTCCCTGTTCTATAGTTCTGCCTGGGGGCTCTTGTTTATTTCACTCAGTCACTATACAGGTTTTTCAGTGTGTGGTTACCTTGTCCATATAAAGTTTAAGGTTTGTGTTTCTGGACCTCAGCTAGCTTAGGCCCTGCCCAGAGTTCTAGCATACGTGGACTTCTAGATGGGCTCTTAGGATTTTGCTGGGCTTTGGGGTCCTGGAGTATGACCTGCAGAGGGGTGTGAGCTTTGGAGTTCATCTGGGGAATTGAGGTTGGCAGCTGGGGAGCGTGGAATTACGGTTAGACTTGGTGCTTGTTGTACAGTCTTTGTGATAGACTTCTTCCTGAATGTCTTCTGACTGTCTGGATCATGGGACTTGCCTAAGATTTCAGGACGCAGCCCATTGGAGGCCTTGAGTAAATCAGGATTTTTCTGTATCCATTTGGTAAGGGAGGCAGCACCAGCAGTTGTACGGGAAGTCAAGTGTTACCCGAGCAGGGGGTATCTTCAGAGGCATTTGCCAGGTGCCCATGAAGGAACCCCAAGGATTTGCCTTGAAACGGGGCACAGAAGGCAGTAGATGACCACATCATTGGCAATAATTTGAGTGTAGCCTTCATGGGAAGAGATACACTCTTTTGTTGGCTTAGCAGGAGACCAGTTCTGCAGATACTTGGATGAGAAAGCCTGTTCATACTGGTTGGCACGGTAGTTAGTGGCCATGATCTTGTGCTGTTTTCTAAACCATAGTTCTTTATTAACATTAAATTGCTATTATAATTTGAATATCAGCAGAGGGACACTGTTGGCATTGTTTTGGCTAAGGACATTCTAGTCTAAGGAAATGGATTAACAGTCTGTACAAGGATCTAGGTGACACTAAATATTTTTAAGTGACAATCTTAAACTATAATAGTGAAAAAATTTTGTGGGTTCATGGTCGGTGTATATATTTAGGGGGTTATATGAGATATTTGATATAGGCATGTAATGTGTAATAATCACATCAGGGTAAATGGGGTATCTGTTACCTGAAGCATTTATCCTTTGTGTTACAACCCAATTATACTCTTAAAATGTACAATTAGTTTTGACTATAGTCACCCTTTTTTTGCTAGCAAATACTACATCTTATTCATTCTTTTTTTTTGTACCCATTAACCATGCCTACCTCCCCCACCCTAACCACTCTTCCCAGCCTCTGGTAACCATCCTTCAACTTTCCATCTCCATGAATTCAATTATTTTAATTTCTAGTTCCCACAGATAAGGACTTGTGAAGTTTGTCTTTCTGTGCCTGGCTTATTTCACTTAACATAATGACCGCCAGTTCCATCCAGGTTGTTGCAAATGACAGGATCTCATTCTTTTTTATGACTGAATAGTACTCTACCGTGTTTATGGAATGCATTTGCTCTATGAATTCATCTAAGCATTGATGGACACTTAGGTTGCTTCCAAACCTTGGCTATTGTGAATAGTGCTGCAATAAATGTAGGAGTGCAGTTATCTTTGATATACTGATCTTCTTTCTTTTGAGTATACTGTAATAGTGGCACATTTAATAAGCATCCGTATGTTCAACACTAGAATTAGTATATGTGTGTAGATACTACACAAAGGCAAATTTTTGCTTGATGGACCACTGAGTGCCTAGAAAGTAGCATACTCTTAACAGTAAGGCCCATGTCTTTCAGCACACTCCAACAGAGTGTTGGCGTTATGTCCATCCTAGATTAGAAAACAGGTTCAGGCCAGGTGCATGGGCTCACACTTGTAATTCCAGCACTTTGGGAGGCCAAGGTGGGAGGATCACTTGAGCTGAGGAGTTTGAGGCCAGATTCAGAGGGGAGTTTGTATTCAGACTCAGGTTTGTCTCACCCAAAGCCCAGCTCCATGCCACTGCACGAGCTTCCCAAGGGCTCAAAGAAAAGTCTGCCACTGGAGGTGTTCAAATCCATCCTATGCTCCCTGGTAATAAACCCTCAGGGGTAAGTTATTTTGGTCCTTTCATTTTTGTTTTCTTACCTTGGCACAATTTTCTGGTGGAATCTTAACTGATATTTTAAAATATAAAGAACATCTAAACTTTTAACATATGATTTTTATTGAACATGTTCACCTTTACATTATTACAAACATTTTACAAATAAAAAATTAGTTTTTGTAAAAAAAAAAAAAAGGAAACATTTCCTGGATTATGACTGCATAGTTGAAACAAAGAAATATATAAATATGAAGGTCATTCTCCAAGTATTAGAACAATATTGATGGAGTCACTTCAATAAAGTTACTCATAAACATTTGCATGGTTACCCACACACTGTATCACTTTCCAAAAAATCAAACACATGAGACAAAGAGGAGCCCCAGATGAGATGTAACTAAATGTCTTTCCTCTATGGGATTTGGTCAATGCATATCAGTAAGATAATTTCTTTGCTATATATATAAGATCAACATTTGAAAATGCAGAATACATTGTCTATGTAAATTAAAAATGTTGTCAGCTTTGTTGTAAGGGGAGTAACTACACAGACCACCCACACAAACATTTAAAATACACTGTGTATACATTATCTTACAAAAATCGCATATGTAAGGGAATAAGGCCTTTATTTCCAGAGCATCTTAACATAGGATTAATATTGGTATATTCATCTTTTATATTTTAAACTTCAAATTCTTTAACATCTCAGCTGTTAACATTATGCATAGTACCTAAGACAACATATGAGTAGTGGCATAACACAATTTCAGCTACAGTACTTGATTGTATTCACATGATGTACCATCTAGAACTGACAAAACATAATTTCAGAACTGCCCAATTTAAAGACCTGTTAAGAAAATAAAATGCAACACCATCATATGAGCCCAGTCTGTCTCTCAGAGTGTTGCTATAGGGAGCCTGACACTTCCGAGTATGTACTTAAATGAAGTATTTAATAATAATGTCAGCTTCAGCTTGCAAAGTATTCTAGTTGGCATGGAAATCTGAAAGACTAAAATTACTTCTGTATGTTTTAATTTATTAAAACTGCCGTTTGACTTTGAGTATGTTTTGTCTGGAGGCTAGTTGGAGATTTTTTTTCTCTCTTCTAGCAACAAATTAGCTAAGTGTTTAATCACTGTGGCTCACAGTTTAGTAAAAAAGCAAATACAAAAGAAACCAGGCTGGGCACAGTGGCTCATGCTTGTAATCCCAGCACTTTGGGAGGCCAAGGTGGGAGGATTGTTTGAGCCTGGGAGTTGGAGGCTGTAGTGAGCAATGATTGAGCCACTGCACTCCAGCCCAGGTGACCCAGCAAGACCCTGTCTCTCTTAAAAAAGGAAAAAAAAAAAATTAAAAAAGAAAAAAAGCATCTAGAGTTAGACCATTATTTTGATAGTGTCATGCTGGAATGAGATGGTGGAGTGGTGGAGATGGTGGAGTGGAGTCTGTCTAATTCTCTAGGATAGAATTAGAAAAAGTATTGTATACATCTGCAAATTCTCCAACACTAGGTGATCTGAAATTTGACTTTAATATTTAAAAATCAATATTAAGAATCTAAATTTTCAAGTCAAATTTTCTAAACTCAAAACATAAAAAGAAGTGGACTTGGTATTTAATAAACAGATTTTTTCAACAGCTACATGGTTAAGATGTTAACAATACATGCTCCAAGAAAAGGAAAATTAGAAAACAGGCAGACACTTAGGCAATCCTTAGTGAGTATTTTGAAAGGACTGCCCTGAAATCTAAATACAAAGTGTGCCAATGGAACAGAAAATAGGATGAAATGAATCCAGACTTTCACTGACTACAGAAGACACAGACATTAGTTCCTTTTTCTTCCTAATAAATGTTTCTATTTACTAAAATATTTGTTATATTTACTACTACATAAATCAAGATATATCTGATGGCTGCTAAGATTATAAAGGCATGATTTTAAGCTTTTCAAAAATCTCTCTACTTTTAAAAAAGAATTCTGTACCGTTTTAAATACTGAGAAGCAGTCTTGTATAGAGAGGTGTTGGACCAAGCGCAGCCAAGGGTGAGTAAGACGGGCATCGCCCTGATTATAGCACCTCTTATATGTCTGATGAATGTCCTCACTGAACCCCACTTACAATCTAGTTTTATCATTTTCAAAACAGCAAAATCATTTGCACAGCACCAATAAAAATATAGCCTAGAAATAATATTCTGAAAATAGAAAAATATGTTCTAAGAAATGTCATAAATATCTCTCTAAATAATATCTTCATAGCTCTATAAAAAACTTTCTTTGATTTTTCCCATAATATATAATGAACGGATTAGTTCACCTGAGGGCAGAAAGCAAGTCTTTACTACTGAAGTCCCTTGGTTAGGCTAAAATGTTCAGGTCAATGTTTTATTCTTAAAAATAATTCTTAAAAAATAAAAAGTATAATCATTCAGAAAACCGTCTCTCTCAGAGTCTCTCTACATTCAAAATATAAAACAGGGTATCATCTTTTAAAAATTTCCAGAATCTCTTTGTTAAATGCCAGATAGAGGTGATGGGAGGAAGGCAGCAAACCACAGTGCCATGTATGTACCATGCAACAATCCTGCATGTTCTTCACATGTACCCCCCAACCTAAAACGCAATTATATATATATATATATATATATATATATATATATATATATATAATTGTATTGGATTAATGCAGAATACCCAATCCTTGAAATATAAAAAACAGCAACAAAGGTCCTAAGATTATTCAAAATTTTCCAAGCCTCTAAATTTGTATATTAAAATAATATAATTTCCGCCTTATTTTGACAATGTGAAAACACCCAGACCAAAGTCATTCTATTCTGACATATTATCTTCCTTGTATATGATTTTGAAAGTAAGAATTGGGGAATTACTGGTTATACAGAATATATATTTTTCTTCACTAATAATGATTCCAAGAAAAGTTTAGATCTTTCCACATGGAAACTGTCATGTAAGAACAGAAAAACTCTAAAGTTTATCTGCTGTGCTGCTCAACTGGATCCAGACCAGGTATTCTTATTTTAAAAGCTATATTTGATGTATGTTATATTCTACTCTTGCCTGAAAACAACTCAGTTTTGACGCAGTAGAGAAGAAAACAGTACCTACGAAATGGAAACCTGCCAGTCCGCATCAGTCACGGCAGGCAGCTGTCACACTGCTACCCACCACCACTTCGGAAAACTGTCAGCCTCAGGTAAGTCTGAATTTACATAGAAAAGCCTTCCCTGTTTCTGACCATATCACAATTTTCCTCTTTTTCTATATTTTGACTCCTGAAACCAGCAGATCTTAAATGTCAGTGAGTTAAGATAGCTCTTCTGTTAGGGTGCCTATGGTAGCCCAACACAGTGAATGTTAAACTTATTTTGAATCTTTTATGTAGTGCTTGGGGGATGGTTCTGCAGCTCATCTAATATTAATGACAACTGACAATAATAATGGCATTACATCCGTTCACGTCTCAGACTTAAATGCACTTATCATTTCATTTATGACAGGTACATTTAGAATTATGAATAAGCACTTTACATGTTTAAATTGTAGTCTAACATTTTCCCAAAGCATGAACACCCACGCTTTATACAATGCTGTAGGTAGTATAATAGGGAAAATTTCCTGAACAGGGATTATAACCATCTTGACAAAAATCTATAGGGTTTAAGTTATATTCATGTACTGTGTCTCAAACATAAAACTAAAAAAACCCAAATAAGCCCAAATCTATTGAGCACCTTTATCACAGATTTTTACATTTGAATCTTAAAATTATACTTTGATGTGTATAATGCTGTTTTCTCCACTGGGGTGTTCTGAAAGAAAAAGCAGGCTTTTCATTATCAAGTGCAGTGACCACAGAAGCCTGGTGCTTCCAAGGCACACACAGCAGCACAGTGCCTGGAGACTGCCATGCAAATGTTCCCCTTTGGTGGCTGGTACAGGATGGCGGTGGGTCCTTTCAGAGAAGAAATCAGCAGTGGCTTTCCTCTTGAGAGCTGAGGTTCATTTTCTATTAAGTGCTTGAATAAAATGCCTTGATACATCAACTACTTACATCTTAAATCCACAGGAAAATGTTTTCACTGGCTTGACTTCTAGCGTTTGATCACAACTTGTTCATAGGCTCCAGACCCCACCCTAAAACAGCAGGGGGAAAAAAACTTCAAAATTATGAGCCGTAGTGTTTAAAACTGTTCCAAGTAACCTTGCTCTGGAAAGATGGGGCACTGGGTATTTTTCTACTAGATTTGCTTTCCGCAAGGTTTAAAGGTATCACAGATAGACAATGTGTGGAATATTAAATGTTTAATACATTGGATTAGCCTTGATCCTGATTCTCTTACATTTATTCCCACAATAATCTAGTAGAATTCCCCAATTCTTGATCTATCAACAGCTGGTGGCAAGAAATGTTCTTCGAACATACTTATCTATTCATTCTAAAATCAGTCTCATCCAAGAGTCTATGTTGACTCTGGCAGTGCATCAGGACTTGCACTGAGTTAATGATGATGGTCTTCAGCTGTCATAATATTGTGGCGTTTTCATGATAGGGTCTCATTCTGCTGCTGAGACAGAAGTGCAGTGGCATGATCGAAGCTCACTGCAACCAGAACTCCTGGGCTCAAGCAATCCTCCTAACAGCCTTTCAAAGTGCTGGATTACAGGCATGAGCCTCCATGCCTGCCCATTACTGCCTAAAGTTATCACCAAGTACCCATTTCCCAATTTGTCAAGATGTCAGGGTATACCCTACTATTTGTCATTTCACCCTGAGTGTGCCTGAGTTTAGTAAGCCCAAAAGCAACCACCATGACTAGTGTCTCCCCTTAATGACATTTTAAGAGGAAATTCTAAACAACAGAAGTAAGGTAGTGATTACTAGCCCACCAGGGTCTTGGCTGGACCTCTCAGTTGATTGCTCAGAAACTCCTGTTCTCACAGATTCATTCTACAGAAGAAATAGGCACTTCCTCAACAGAATGCCGGTGAACACCCATTCATACCTACAGAAAATCAGCCTGTGAAGTAACCATGGTAGGCAGCATAGCGCACTGGCTTTTACAGGCTCTTTTAAATATGTTCTGTTTCTGGCCATGATGAAGTAACAGGAACCAGACTTTCCCTCTTGCCTTAAACAATTAAAAAACTGGATAGAATACATGAAACCATTTTTTGCACATACTAGACAACAGGCAGTGCAGGACTGTGGTCCCAAGAAAAAAAGAAATAAATGAAGAAAGCCTGACAACTGTCCCAGCATGCTGCCTGAAGCAGTCTCCTTCAGGATCTTCTGAGCCTGCAGTGCAGAGAGGAAGACCCCACACAGCCTGCTCATCTCTCTGAGTAGAGGAGTCAGAGGTCAAAGCTCAGAGGGTCTGGGGACTAGAATTTGTAGATCAGAATAACAGAAGGAGGGGCTGGGGAAAATACTAGCTGGAGAATTCCAAATTTGATGAAAACTGTAAACCCATAGATCCAAAAAGCTCAATGAACCTCAAACAGAATAAACAAAAGAAAGAACATATCAAGGGACATTATAGCCAAACTGCTAAAAATCAGTAATAAAGAGAAAATCTTAAAAGCAGCCAGAGATAAAAGACAAATCACATACAGAATAAAATAAAAACACAGGCAGACTTCTTGTCAGAAAAAATTTAATGTCCCTAAAGGCAAGCAGGCAGGTACGTGCAGGTCCCAGGAAGAAAACCCAGGTGGGCCAGGCTGTCTCCTGGGCAACACAGCAAGACCTCGTCTCCCCAGAAAGTTAAAAAAAAAGAAAGCTGGGCATGGTGGCTCACACCTGTAGTCCTAGCTACTCAGGAGGCTGAGGCAGGAGGATCGTTTGAGTGTAGGAATTGGAGGCTGCACTGAAGCGATCCTCCTTGATTGCATGAAGAGCTATGATCACATCACTGCACCCCAGCCTGGGCAACAGAGGGAGACCCTGTCTTTCAAAAATGAAAACCAAAAAGCTTTACATTAGTCATCTGATTTAATCTTACATCCTATGAGTTTGGTATCTTATTTATCACTCGCATTTTACAGGCAAGGAAACTGAGACTCACAGAGGTTAATAATATCAATCAATAGTGGAAGAGCTAGGACTTGACCCCGGGCAGTCTGATAAGACAGCCGATGGTTCTGACCGTTTGCTATTTAAATTCCTTTTGGTTGAAGGCTTGGCACAATGGCTCATGCCTGTACTCCCAGCACTTTAAAAGGCTGTGGTAGGAGGATCACTTGAGGCCTGGGCAACACAGCGAGACTCTGTCTCTACAAATAAATGAATGAATGAATCAATGAATCAGTGAATGCTGGGCATGGTGGTGCATGCCTGTAGTCCTAGCTAATCAGCAGGCTGAGCCCAGAGTTGAAGGCTGTGTGAGCCGAGATTGCACCACTGCACTCCAGCATGGGTGACAGAATGAGACCCTATCTCTTAAAAAAACATTTCATTTGGTTGGAACTATATTTTTTTTGCCATTCCTTTACCTAAATTAATAAAGCCAGGGCTTACTGAGTATATTATGTCATTTACCCTTTAAAATTACTCCAGGAGATAGGCATGGTTATTCCTACTTTTCAGCAGAGGTAGCTAAAGTTCTATTGAAGTTAAGTCATTTACTCAGGCCCCAAAAGTGGTCTGGCTAGGATGTGAATCCAAGTCCCTAACTCAAAAACACATGCTCTCTCCATGATTCATACCACTGTCTTCATAAATGTTTCATTTCTATGTGGTTTCCCCCTGCTACTGGTCTCTCTTTGCTCTGATCTACCCTTCAAATTATGGCCAGGTATTTTTCTAAAATGTCAATCTGATAAGTCACTTCCCTGCAAGGACAGCCAATGGCTCCCCACTGTGAACGAGAAGAATAAACTTTGTTATGGCAAGTGAGGCCCTTTACCTCCTGGCTCAGAGATGCTTGCCAACCTCATGCCCCTAAATACCCTTTCACAACCCCCTCTCCTCAGAAGAACCTGTTTATTGGAAATTCTGAAGTATGTTATATGATTAATAAGTCAGTAAGATATAGTGTTTAAGTACAATGGGATTTGAACTCAAAGAGACATGAGTTTTCATCTTGGTTTTACCACTTACTGGTTTTAAGGCCGTGGGCAAATTACTTCTTTCTTTCTTTTTTTTTTTTTAAGACAGTCTTATTCTGTCATCCAGGTTGGAGTGCAATGGCGTGATCTAGGCTCACTGCAGCCTCCACCTCCCAGGTTCAAGTCATTCTCCTGCCTCAGCCTCTTGAGTAGCTGGGATTTCAGGCACCCATCACCATACCTGGCTAATTTTTGTATTTTTAGTAGAGATGGGGCTTCGCCATGTTGGCCAGGCTGGTCTTGAACTCCTGACCTAAGGTGATCCACTCACCTTGGCCTCTCAAAGTGCTGGGATTACAGGCATGAGCCACTGTGTCCGGCCTCAAATTACTTCTTTGTATCTTTGTTTCCATTAAAAAAACACCAAACTAATTATAGTATGTTATGAGCACTTAAAGAGATACAAGAATTGAATAAAAAATATATATTGTGCCTATGTCTGGCACATAACTAATAAATGCTCAATGCTACCTATAGTTACTATATTTTTTATGATATAATTACATATCATAATTACTGTATTTATAAACTCATTCTATTTCTTCCTATGACTAGGAGTATTTGTCTTCGTCATATTCACCTTCTAAGCCCCCCACTTATTTTTTATTCTTCCAAAGTCTCTCTTCAAGTGTGAACTCTGAGGCTCTGTCCTGTCTGTTCTCTCAAAGTTCCCTCTACTTCTATTACAGTATTTATTATAAAGTTATGATTTTTAGTTTGTCCATTTCATCTGTGAGAGTCAGATAGTAAAAATTTTAGGCTTTGTGGGCCACAGAGTCTCTACTGTACCACTCAGTTCTGCTACTCTAGCATCAAAGCAGCCATAAACCATATAAACAGGCATGGTTGTGTTCCAATGAAACTTTATAAAAAGAGGCAGTGGGTCAATCTGGCCTATGGGCTATAGCCTGGCAGCCCCATGTGCTAGATCATAAACCAGCAGAGGATAAGAGCTGGGTCTTTTCTACTTGCATTCTTACCCACAAACTGGCCAAGAAACAGTTACTGAATTCAATGAGCAGGTGAGTCAATGAAAGGTTTAAATAGTGTTACATCATCTGTAAATCCTTTTTCACATTACTCCCTGAAAGCAGCTTTGTATGTCTCTCTCTTACCTACCCATGGTATCCTGCTTATAGTTAGCTGTTGATGTTAGGTTTTTGCTGTTAGTCTATTTTTGAGCCCTGTAATGAGCTGGACAAATAGGAGGTACTTATTAAAATGAGTATTAGTAAAATAAATGAATGCAAAATTCTTTTGGGTTTTGAGCACAAGAGAATAAAATAATTGTCTTGGTCCAAGGGGCTCCTTACCCCTGCAACTGTGACTCACTCTATAGTTGTGCAGGGACTCTACATAAATATGACATGGAGTAGAATTAGGGGTGCACAGAAGTGTGGGGAGCAGGTTGTAAGGAGCAAGGGAGTGATCAAAATTCCTACACTGTGCTCAGCGTCTGTGCTCACTACTATCCGCTTTAGTGCTGATAATCAGTGGTAAGTTTGGCAGGTGACTTTTCTTCATCTGCATCTGAGTAACTAGCAAAATGATATTTGGTTTTCAGAATTTTTCTCAATATGTATGGCAGACTCTAGTGGGTGGAGAAAAGGAGAGTACAAGAAAGCTTAATGGCAGCTTAAGTTGCTCAGTGGTTGTGTAACTGCTCAGAAAAGATAGCCCACTGACTGAAAAATGTAATTTTTGCTTTTCTCTTTCTAAAATATCAGATTAGCCATGCACAGTGGCGTGTGACTATGGTCCCAGCTACTCAAAAGGCTGAGGCTGGAGGATCACTTGAGCTCAGGAGTTTGAGGCTACAGTTATCTATGATTACACCACTGCACTCCAGCCTGGGCAACAGCCCTGTCTCTAGAAAATAAATTAATAAAAAAATTAATGTTTTAAAAGACTAAGGACTCTTTTCTAAACGTCCCTTTATGTTGCCACTTTCCCAATGGTATACTGGTCCTTGACTAATAATACATTTAAAAATACTTCTAAGGAAATTAAAAACTTATAAAATAAATGTCAAACATATCCAGAATAAAGAAAACTGAGGGCTACACTAAGAGCTGTAACTCTTCTCATGTAACTACTAATATTTGTGTTTCCTAGCTTCAGCCTAATTCAAACTTTGTGACCACCATTCTCTACTCATGATTTAAAAAAAATCGTATATATTTTAATAAGACACTATTTGTACTACTTACCTATTTGGAAGATGATGACTGCCGAAGGTTGTACTTCCCCCAGGACCCACAAATAACCTTAGTCCTTCTTCTGCAATATACATTTAAAATGTTTGTTACATGTACAATTATTAGACTACTGTCAAATAGTATTGACATTATAATAATTCATATTTTGCAATTCAGTTTATTAGAGAAATAACTTAAAAACCAAAGTTACATACATGTTTTAAATTAGGCAATTTAAAAGCTACTCTAAAGGTTATTTCTCACCAACTTTTCTAAAGCTCTTTTTCTTTTAACTGAGTCATGGAGATAGCTCTTCCTACAAATTTCCACAAGTAAGGTTTAATTATTTCTCTTTACACCCAGCTACATAATGAAAATAAGTCCATTGTAGAGTGCTTTCTATTCACACCAACATGAGTAATTATACCTTTCAAACTGGTGGCATACAAATTTTCAGTTTCAGTGAAAACTCTAAGGAGGGCATGAAGGATTCTTTATCCACTACTGTTCCAAGACCACCACCAAATTACAACAGTGGCTTAAAGTACTTAAAACAAAAGCAGATGTTGGTACCTATTATAAGTATATGAACCTTGTAGACATTGGGGCATAATTAAAAACACAATGAATGTTTTATTTAAAATTAATCACTTTTAACTAAAATTTGTTCTTTTTCTAAATTCAATATTCATTTTCATTAATAAATGAGCTATAAAGTTACCCTGAGATTTTTATGGGCATGAAATTTACTATACAAATATGCAACAGTCAGTATCATGATGTTCTGAGCCTCTTTACTGCTGATTACATGGATTACAAAAACCTGGATGATAGGAATCTATGCTTAACAGTTATCTACATACCTTCTGCACTGGAATCTAGGCTGAAGTCTTGACTTTGTAATATTTTCTCCACAATATCATCTGCATCCACCCTGGTGTCATCAACTCGCTTCAGCTGAGATTCTACAGAATCTTGTTTCACTGGGCATCTTTGAAAAGAATTACAATTTTTTCCTTTTTGTTATGTTATGAAAACAAGTTTTTTTTAAATTAAAATTTATTCTTTAAACTAAAAGGATACCTGTTGAGTTTTTCCAAAGCTGTCTCTTCTTTATCAGCTGCATCAAGATTTGGCTCAGGGATTTTCTGCTCAATTTCATCACATGGCTCTAGAATACTTTCAACTCCTGTTGATGTGCTTCCCACTGAGGTATTTCTCCTGTGGCAGAGCTCAGAGAAACTAGATGACCGGGAGTGACACGTGCTATACCCTGTCAGAGAAAATCACCTTGGATATAATACTCATATCAAATGCACTATGATCTGACATCCTTCTCCCACACCACAGCAGTTTCAAGTCCCTTTGGAACAATAAGGAATTCAACTTCTCTGTTAGCCTCTACCTGATACTTTTGACTGCTGGCTTGCATAGCTTGATGTTCTAGAATGTCCACAGGCACCAAGTTCATCTGGAACAGAGGCACTCTTTGCTGAAAGATCTGTAATATGTCATAACATGATGTCATCCTTACTGCCACACGATTCATGGTCGATTTGTATTCTAATTTGCAGACTTTATAAACTCTGCCAAGTTCATTATAAAAAAAATAAGTTATAAAATGAGAGATATCCTTATAAGTCAATACAATGGAAATAACTGTGTTGCAAGAAATACAAAGTATTTAAATACCTTAGTTCACTGAAGAATATTTTTCATAACATTAAAAAAATTATTTCAGTCCTTTATTAGTTCAGTCCATGCAATAAACTCCTATTTTTCAAAACATTTGACAGCACTCTATCTTAAAACTGCTACAGTTAGTGTTTAGTATTTCTCTAATAAAAATGACTTGAGTGTATTTTTATAAATGTTCACAAAATTGGTAAGTTTTCCTGTGGTTTCTAAGGAAATACTGCTTCCTTAAAAATCCATCACAACAGCAAGCTAAAGAGTGCTCTATTACTTTAATGTTAGTGTTGCTAGTGCTAGGCTGTAACTTGGGCAATGTCTGTGGCTCAAATCCACACAGCATGGGATGTAGCACTGAGAATAAAAGTTCTTAAGAAATTGAGTATTCAGATTCAAAGTAAATGTACAAAAGGCAGTGTCAAAGCCATTTCTAATAATTTCTGATCATGTGTATATTCCAGGTGCCAATTACGCATTTTTTGAACCCACTTCTTCCAGAGAATGTAGAACTGTGACCATTTTCGGTAGGATGCAATCACATTTGGAAACAAGAACTGTTTTTAACTTAGAAGCAGAAGGAAAGCAACTGAGTAACATAGCTATTATAGCAGCCATTCTATAAATGATACTGTATGCAGTTGGACCAACAACTGCTACAAAACAAGGAAGCTACTGGAGCAACCCTGTCCTTCAGCAAAGGTTTCTCATTTCTGGACAGAGTGTAAGTGGCCCAAGCATCTCTACAGTGGTCCAAACCCAAACGTTCGGCAAAATCTGAACTCAAAAAGTTGGTTCATCTCAAGAGTTACGCAGTGCTAACTCTTTACTCCTGGGTTTGGCTCAGATCTTAAGTCATCCACATTATCTTCTGGTTTTCAAAATTCATTTATTCAATAAATATTTATTAATATTTTACCAGTCAAGTGCCTAATACTGTATAGGTATAGAAAGTACAAAATAAGTAAGACAAAATACATACTTAGGTTTAGAGGTAGAAACAAAAGTTATACAAAGTGGCAAGTACTAAAATACAAGCAGTTATTAAGAGCTCCAAAGGACAGTGCATCTGACACAACCTGGTAATGGGGGAAAGACCTTACTGAGGAGGTTAACCCCAGGACTTGAGCAACATATGGGAACTCCTGAGCCAGATGAGCAAGGAAAGGCACAGGGTAAAGCACGCCTTGTTTGTAGGGAAGCAGATTGTTTGGTAAAGTTGGCATACAAGGTAGTGGTATAAACAACCAAGGGAAAAGAGGCTGGAAAGATGAGTAGATGCCTGTTGAAAAACCTTCTATGAGTTTAAAGAAGGAAACAATTCATGGCTTCGAGGAAGGGTGTGATATGATCAGATCTACATTTTGGGAAGAACATTTTGGCAACACGATAAACAGTGGGTGTAAGAGTGAAGGCTTTCATAATAATCTGGCTGAGAGTGAGTTGTTTCACAGGCACAAATAGCAGAACTCAATAACAAAGCAGAAATCTGTGTCGGGAAAAGTGAGGTAGAAAAGCCCAGAGGAAAAGGTAGGAAGACTTGTCCTAGATAAATGGAATTAGAGACACCTGAGGATGCCTATTCAAGAGTCACTCAATGTTCACTGTGTCCTGGGCCTTCTGCTGGGGATACAGACAAATAAGAGCTAACCATGAAAAACTTAAGAGTCTGTCTGGGGAGAAAGATAAACAGATGGATTTCAGTGTAACATTTGGTATGAAGTGGACCTTCCCCCAAAGCATTTAATCATGTTTACATTTATGTGATAGATAAAGCCAAGGGTGTAAATGGCACTGCTCAAGGAAGTGAGGGGACCAAACCCTGTGGAACATCAATATGTAAGGAGAAGGTGGAGGAAGATAAAGAAGGCTCTAAGAAGCTAAAAAAGGAAAGGTCAGAGAGGTAGGAGCCAAGTGAAGAGAAAGCATCAAGAAAGAATAACTGGCCATCAGGTGTGACCAGAAGAAATGTTCACAGGATTTGACAACTATGTACCCGGAGACAGCATCGAGAGGGCAGATGATAGAAGCCAGAATGCCAGTATGTTTAAGAATAAATGGACAGTATATTTTTTCTAGAAGTTGAGCTATAAAAAGTGTGGGGTGCATATATCAGCTCTGGCTTATCTCTCTCTCTCTCTCTCTCTCTCTCTCTCTCCACACACACACACACACACACACACACACACACACACACACACACAGAGACAGAGAGAGAGAGAGAGAGAGAGAGAGAGAGAGAAACAGACAGAGAGACAGAGAGACCAGAGAGACAGAGATGTCTTTATTTATTTGGGGCAGAGTGAGGAAAGAGAGAGCACATGAGCACATGCACCAGCCTGTTGGAGCCTAAGGGAGAGTAGTAGATAGAGAAAGATGTAGGGCTAAGGAGTTTTTGTTTTTCTTTTTTCAATATGAGAAAAAATTCAGAATATTTACATGCTGAAGAGAAGGAGCCAATGGAATGGTTACAAGTTCCCCAAAGATTCACTGATCCCAAAACGAGAAGTTTCAGAGTCACCATTACTTATAAGAAACCATAGATTTGCATATTTAAAAAGGTGGTGAAAATGTTAATTACATCACTACACCTTTCTTTCCCTTTTTTCAAACAATACATCCTGTTCACAGAATACTGAAGGCAGAAGGAAGCTCCTAAGTTCTGTTCCTCCTGCTCCCTTGACGTTTTCCCCACTGAGCTTTTACTTCTGGAGCAGATTCTGACTGCTGCCAGCCGTGTGCCTGGAAAAGTGGATCTCAAGGTGTGGTCAGGGACTAGCATCATCAGTGTCTTGTGGGAATGCCTTAGCAATACTTCAGGCTCTAACCCATATCTATTGAATCAAACACTCTGGCTGCTGCAACCAGCAACCTGTGTTTTCACAAACCCTCCAGGTGACTCTGATGCACACTAGGGCTTGAGAACCACTGACAAACGGAAAGCGATTCACGGAAGAGGAGCAACACCTGAGAGGCAGACGTTGCTTTGCATAAGTTGCTGGGTAATGGAATGGGAAAAATGGAAAAAATCCTGTACTATTCTGTTGCACCTGTGGGGAGTACATGCATACAGTGAGAGGAGTGTCACTGTAACAGCTATTTTTTAATTTGTTAGAGCACAATACTTTAGACAAAATAAAGCACTGGATCAACCAAGAATTATATAATTAAAACTGCTGATTCTTATTGGCCTGTTTCAAGTCAATTACCCATACAATTTTAAATCTGGAAGGGCTTTGGGAATCTTTTAGGGCATCAAGTAGTCTCGCACAAATTAAAAACCAGTAAGCCACACATCCATACCTGCTATTCCAAGATGCACTTTGAGAGTCTCTCCACCTTTTCTATCTTCTTGCAAAGATTCAGATTCACCGGCAATTGGTATAGACATTGATGTGGAGGGAGGCCTATAAATAAACATTTACGAACTTGAGTTGTGGGGGAGCCTCAAAGTTCAAAATACTGTTATTGATTGGTGAGGTCAGTAAGCCTCAGCATAAACTGCTTGGTAATAGTACTCCTTTGAGGGTGAAAGTAATAAAAAAACAGCAAATAATGTATAAGCATCTTTTCAAAACTTGAATAAAATTCATAAAGGGTTTTTTTTTTTTTTTACATAACAAGAAAAGGGCAGTGTGCATAGAGTCCTAAAAAGAGAGGCCTCTGTCAGTGTAAACCCAGCAAGGTTCAAGGGATGGTTGTTCCAACTATCAACTCAAGATGGCAACTCTGAGTTAAAGAAGCTGGCGCCGAGCCCCTTTGAATCAAGCTGGGAGGAGAATGCCTCGTGCCTCTGGTTCAGAGCCTGTACTCCCTGGCTGGCTCCACTCACTTTTTAAATAGGGTATCCACGGTTTTATCTTCTACCTTCATCTCTGTAAACAGTTCACCTGCCCAGGGAGAGTCTACAGAGAAGCCCAGTTGTTTAGATTTGCTTTTTGGATTGGATTCTCTGGGAGTAGTAATGAATCTATTCATTGGTTAATTCAAAGCTCCTATTTCATGTGGAAGCTGTGATGCAAGGAGGGGCAAGTTTAAGTTCTAACAGTTTTTCTTTAAAATAAAAAAAATTAAAATTTTTGTAGGTGTATATATTTATGGGGTATATAAGATTTTGATACAGACATGCTATGCATAATAATCACATCAGGGTAAATGGGGTATCCTCAAGCATTTATCCTTTCTTACAAACAGTCCAATTATACTTTTTTATTTTTACTTATTTTGAAACAGGGTCTCGCTTTGTCACCCAGGCTGGAGTGCAATGGTACAATCATGGCTCACTGCAGCCTCCACTTCTCCAACTCAAGCAATCCTTCCGCCTTAGCCCCCATGTAGCAGGGACTATAGGCACACAGAACCATGGGCATGCCTGGCTCTTCTATTTCTGACATTTAGTAGAGACTTAAAAAATTTTTTTTTTGTAGAGATGGGGGCGGTCTCCCTATGTTTTCCAGGCTGGTCTCGAACTCCTGGGTTCAAGCAATCCATCTGCATCAGCCTCTCAAAGTGCTGGGATTATAAACATAAGTCACGGCACCCAGCCTCTTTCAGTTATTTTTAAATGTATAATAAATTATTGTTGATTGTAGTCATCCCATTGTGTTTTCAACACAGGGATTTTTATTAGAAAATATCCCTAACCTTAAAAAAAATTTTTTTTTTTTTTGTAGAGACAGAGTCTCATTATGTTGCCCACACTGGTCTCTAATTCCTGGCCTCAAGTGATCCTCCAACTTCACCTCCCAAAGTACTGGGAATACAGGTGCAAGCCAACCTTTTGAGGCTGATAACCACATCTTTCTAGAAACTAAACCTTGGTAACCTGAGATAAAATAGGGAGGTGGCTGAAGGAATCATGAAGCTGACCTGCTTTATGGCAATTCTTTCATTCTTACCCTTAAGGTAAGAATTAAAGGGAATCCTCAGGCTATTCAGATTCTTGAGGACAGAGACATTTAAGATTGCTATTAAATCTATTGCATTTATTGACTGTTTCCAGCCTAGATCTTCTAAATTCTAGACTTACATATCCTATTGAGACATTTTCAAGTATTTGTCCTATAAGTACACGAAACTCAGTATATCCCCAACTAAATTTGTCTTTCCCAAAACCTGTTTTCTTCTTGTATTCTCTCTGTAAATGTCATCACAATCTACAAAGTCACCAAAACTAAAATTCTGGGTATCACCTCTCCCTCCTTCCTAATTACATTTTTCTACATCCAATCAACTTCCAAATCCCAGATCCTCTTTTAGTATTTTTCCTATTCATCATCTCTTCTCCATCTCCATTCATTACTTGAGTTTTGGCCTTTGTACCTTTCTCCTGGCTGACTGCGAGGATCTCCTTGCTGGTCTGCCAACCTCTACTTCCTGCCACTGTCACTGTGGTCTTTCTAAAACGTGCCTTGAATATGTTATTCTCTTATTTAAAACCCTCCCATAGCTCCTTCGGCATAAAGCTCAAATCCCTTAAAATTTGCAGTCTGGCTTAGACCCACCTCTTCAATTACCAACAGCTGTATTTTCTTTTTGTGAGACAGAGTTTCACTGTTGTTTCCCAGGATGGAGTGCAATGGCATGATCTCGGCTCACTGTAGCCTCCACCTCCCAGGTTCAAGTGTTTCTCCTGCCTCAGCCTCCCGAGTAGCTGGGATTACTGACACCCAACACCACACCCGGCTAATTTTTGTATTTTTAGTGGAGAAGGGGTTATGCAATGTTGGCTAGGCTGGTCTCAGACTCCTGGCCTCAGGTGATCTGCCTGCCTTGGCCTTCCAAAATGCTGGGATTATGTGAGCCACTGTGCCCGGCCTGTATTTTCAAATAATGTAAAATAGCTTGGTGGAAAAAAACAACAACGCTGCAGTCAGTATTTCATGGGAAAAACTAATATATAGAAGAAACACAAAGAATGGAGTTTACAGTCATAGTCATTAATCACTGATGGCTGACTCAAGCCTGCATGTCTAAAAATTCTTACCTTTTTAATGACAGTTTCTTTCACAGGTGGCCTGATTATAGCGTCTCTATCTCCTCTACCTCTTAGATCTGTTTTTCCAACCCTCAGAACTCCCAAACATTGGCCCCTTCCCTTTCTATTCCCCTCTTGCTTTATTCTCCCCTGTCCAGCCCAACTCCACAGCTACAACTCTTTAAGCAGCACCTTCAATTTGGCACCTCTTATTCTGCTGTTCAAAAAGCTGAAGAATGGCAACCCTTGATAATATCAGTCGTCTGTACTAACTGCTCTATTACTGGGGCCACTAAGCATTATGGAGAAAATTCATTAACTATGGGGACTGATAGTAAAGCAAATTTAAATCTAAAAGCTTAGCTGGGCCTTGGCAGCTCTATTATCTCCCTGGATAACTCAGTCTTGTTGAATAAATAATCACAGAGTGCTTACCATGTGCCAGTTTTTGTCCCATTACCTTTTGTTCTGAAAATATTTTTACGTCCCTCACCTGAAATCACTTAATGTAGATCAACTATAGAATAAGAGATGGGATTACTTTAATTTGTAGATCAAATATAGACTAAGAGATGGGATTACTTTGGTTGCTTTAATTTACATTAATGTTAACAATATGTGAAAAATGACCTCATAAAATGACAATATTACCTACTTGACATTCCTTAAATACTGAATGCCCTGTATTACAATGCCATAAACTTGTGAAACTGTTTTCTCTCCTGAGGTGTTCCTACCTACCTCCTGTGCTTAGTAAATTCCTAGTCATCCCTTAAACTTAGCTCAGTGTCCCCTTCTCAGTGAAGATTTCTCTGGCTTTCAAGGAACTGTGGCTAGGGATCCTATCCTCTGTGCCCCAGTGATATCATATAGAGTGTGCCTGTCTCCCACATAAACAGTCAATCCCTTCGGAGCAGGGGCTGGTCTTTTCTAGCTTAAGTGTTGGCACATGGCAGGCAATCAATACACGTGTACTGAATGAATGACTGCATCCTAGGACCCTGCATGAATGAATCCCTTAACCTCTTAGTCTCAATGTTCTCACTCAAAATTATGATATTTGTATTACAGTTATTTTAAGAATTGAGAGACAGTAACATTCATGAAATCATTTTTACAAATGATAATTTTCTTCCCTTTGGAATATAAACATGTCAGAACCTTGCTATATTCAAGTGATTTATATCATCCCTAGATCTGCTTTGCCACCAGATTCCCAAATGCCAGCAGAATATAGTTTCTCTCTCAAAATATCTTTTTTTCTTTATTAGCACTTTTCAGAGTGAGTTTCACTCCTTTACAAGAGTTGGTGGGTATTTGATGAATTGTAGAGAACTATGAAATGGAAGTTTAGGGTAGGTGGTTAGGCTGACTTACCAGCTATCTTCTTTATAAATTCCGGCCTTATAGTATAAAATTGGTGCTTCAGAAGAATTATACAATCTATGTCACAGATCTTCTGCTCAGAAAATATTAAAACTAGGATGTAAATTTGAGACTAAGGATATGCCATACTCTTGTTTCTCAAGTAAATTAAAAAAAATTATATCACGAAAAATTTAAAGATAGACAAAAGCAGAGAATAGTAGAATGCAGCCCTCCAGCAGTTATTTACATCTTTGTTCTACACAGAGGTACCCAGTAAAGTCACTCGATTGCTTTGTGCCTCAGTTTCCTCATCTGTACAATGGTAACTTGGATTATATCAACACTTTTAAAACTGGTTTCCTGATCTCCTTTAGGGACTTCTGGAAGTAGGTAGAGGAGAGTGCTCAATAGAAAATTTATTCTTATCTTACCGAAGTTGGAGGGGAGATAGAGTAAAATCCTAGGATTCGTAATACACTTGTTTTATTTTTTGAGACAGGTCTTGCTCTGTCACCCAGCCTGGCGTACAGTGGCACGGTCTTGGCTCACTGCAACCTCTGCTTCCTGGGCTCAAGTGATCCTCCCACCTCAGACTCCTGAGTAGCTGAAACTACAGGTGTACCACCATGCCTGGCTAATTTTTAAATTTATTTTTTGGTAGAGACAGGATTTCACCATGTTGCCCAGGCTGGTTGTGAACTCCTGGGCTCAAGGGATCCACTTGCCTTGGCCTCCCAAAGTGTGGGATTACAGGTGTAAGTCACTGTGCCTGGCCTCATAATATATTTGAGCAAAGGATTTTGTAGCTAAATATTCTAAAAAAAAATCACTGGATTAGACAACTTCTAACATTCTTTTCAGCTCTAAAGTAATATGATTTTACATATTTGATATATATTTAAATATAACCTGATAAAACTAATTTACTTTTTACATCAGTAGTTAAAATGTTTTTCTATTCAGTACATATTCAGTATGTGCAAGTGTATGAACATGTTAGAATTTCCCCTTTTTCAGTGACATTTGAACAATTTCAAAGAGAAAAGAAAACTATTGAGGATTTGATTCTCTCGAAAAATACTTTTATGTATTTGGAATTAAGTAATGTCTGCTTACTTTTATGAATTACAAACGTCTTTCTCTGTAAATATAAATTCCAGATTGTCAGAATTAAATTTATGGAGATAATATGAAACATTAGATGATCTATTTTCAAGCTCTTCATTGTGAGTTCCTTAACTAGAGAGAGGAAATGGGTAGAGAAAGGGCCAGAAAGGGACTATCCATAAAAATTTCATGAGAAGGAATGATCAATTCATTTTCTTCTACTAAGTTTTGCTCCTCATTTTCTTATTTCACCCTAAATTTTATTCCACTACAAAAACAAATTATTACCCGAGACACCAAAAATACTATAGCAAAATTGGTTTAGTCCCAAGAAAGCAGAAAATAAAGGAGTCAGGAAACTCTAGTTTATGAGAAGACAGCACAGGAAGGCTAAGTTATTGGAAGATATGTGGTTTTAATCAAGAATTGATCCATATTGAAATATATATATCTGTATCTTTATAAAATAGTATGTAAATACAAAATGATGTAGATGTCTTTTTTTTTTTTTTCCCTGAGACAGGAAACTGTCACCCAGGCTGGAGTGTAGTGGTACAATGTTGGCTCACTGCAACCTTCACTTCCCAGGCTCAAGAAATCCTCCCCTCAGCCTCCCAAGTAGCTGGGACCACAGGCTGATTTTTATATTTTTTGTAGAGATGGGGTTTCACCATGATGCCCAGGCTGGTTTTGAACTCCTGGCCTCAAGTGATCCTTCAGCTTCGGCCTCTCGAAGTGCTGGGATTACATGTGTGAGCCACCAGGCCCGGCCAGATGTTGCTTCTAAGTTACAGCTATTAAAAACGTGAAGTTGATATCAAGGGAGGTAATGTTTTCTTTAGTTTTCTCTGTGTATTTTTCTCAGACATTTCAATGATATCAATGAACTTTCATTTTTAATCATTAAGTGTCTGTCCTCAAGGTTGCTGAGAGGCAATCCTGCATTTCCGCATTTTGTTCATGCTCACACTCTCTGAGGACTTCTGCACACCTTTTCCTTTCTTCAAACCCCTTTCTCTATCTTCCCTGTCCTTGCTTTTCTTTTTTTTTTTGAGACAGAGTTTTGCTCTTGTTACCCAGGCTGGAGTGCAATGGCACAATCTCGGTTCACTGCAACCTCCACCTCCTAGGTTCAGGCAATTCTCCTGCCTCAGCCTCCTGAGTAGCTGGGATTACAGGAGCGTGCCACCATGCCCAGCTAATTTTTTGTATTTTTAGTAGAGACGGGGTTTCACCATGTTAACCAGGATGGTCTCGATCTCTTGACCTCGTGATCCACCCACTTCAGCCTCCCAAAGTGCTGGGATTACAGGCTTGAGCCACCGCGCCCGGCCCGTCCTTGCTTTTCAGTGATCATCTTGTTTTCTATTTCACTAAGAAATCAGAAGCAATTAGAAAAGAACTTCTGTATGCTTCCATTTCTCCTCTACCTGTGTTAGTAGCCATGTTCTCTGCCTTCCTCCCTCCTGACAATCCAAGGGCACTGTTCTAGCAATAGTCCCTTTTCTGGATCATTGGTTTCTTGCTGAGCCAATCCCGTCAGTACTCAAATATGCCGTACTATCTTCCATGTTAAAAATTAACAAAACCTGCCCAACTCCAAATCCTCTCTTTACTGTTGACCCCATCTTTCTGCTCCTTCTTTACAGTAAAACTCCTCATTAGAATTGTTTATACTCACTGTCTCCAATTTTTCTCCTCCCAAACTCTCTTTAACTCATTCTTAAAAGGCTTTAGTCTAAGGGCTTTCTACTCAAGTGCCTGCCAAAGTTACCAGCAGTCTTTATACTGCAAATTCCAAGGGTCAGTCCTCAGTCCTCATCTTCTGAGACCCACTCCAGCAGCGCATGATGCAGGTGCTTATTCCTGCCTTTCTGAGGCCGTTTCTTCACTTGGTTTTCAGGATAGGAATCTGCTTTGCTTTCCTCCTCCGATTACACTGGAGGTTCCTTTGCTGATTCTACTTCCTGATCTCCTCAACCTCTAGCATGTCAGGGTGTCCCCACCTCAGACTCTGGTCCTTTTCCGTTTCTACTCATTCCCTCTAGTCACATATTCGAGTCTCATGGATTTAATTACTACCTGTATGCTGATGATGTAATAATTTCCAAACTTCTATCTCCTGCCCAGATCTCCCCACTGAACTCTAGTTGATCTATACAACTGCCTACTTGACATGCCCCGATGGATGTTAAATAGGGATCTCAAATTTAACATGTCAACACCCAAGCTCCCAACTTGTTCCTCTAGTCATCTTTCTCATCTCAACAAATGAAACTGCCATTCTTCCAGTTACTCAGACTCAAAACCTTAGATCACTGAAACAAGCTTCTCTACTTATGTCCCTGTTCCTGTCCCTGTCCCTTTTGTTACTCCTACAAATTGTCTATTCCCTATCTAGTAGCCACAAGTCAGATAATTTTACTCCTCGGCTCAAGACATCCACTAGCTTTTCTATCTCATTCAGTGTGAGCGGTAGTCCTTTTTATAATGGCCACAAGACTCCTTATCATCTGACCTCATCTCCTATTATCCGCCGCTTCATTCACTCTGCTCTAGACATGCTGCTCTCCAGCCAGTTACTTGAACTTGCCAAGAACACTTCTCCCTCAAGGCCTTTGTCCTTGTTTTCTCTGTCTACCTCAAACACTCTTTCCCCTAATGCCAATGTGACTTGCTTTCCACCTCCTTCAGGTCTCTACTCAAATACCATCTTTACCAGGGGGGCCTCCCCTGGCTACTAGATAGAAAATAGCTACTTCTCTTCCCTATGGCCCTTCCACCATTTTTTTCCAAAGTGCTATGACCATGTGTATATTACATATTTACTTATTAGCTTATTGTCCATTTTTGTCTTAGAATATAAGCTCCAAGACACCAGGGACTTAATCTATTTTGTTCACTGCTGTTTCTCTAGTATCTAGAATATGGCCTAACACATGGTAAGGCACTTAACAACAGGTATTTATTGAAGAAATAAATATGTTCACAGAAGCTTTATCAAAACTTTTTGTTTGTATAATTTTACCCAAAACCTGAAGATGACAAAAGACCTATAGCATGAATAATTTAGAGTATGGAGAACTCATTTGGTAATAGGTAGAAATAACTTCTAAGAGCGTCAGATCAGTCCCTCAGGGAAGAAACTATCCCTTTACTGGTATTTTCCTACAAACACTACAAAATATTAATGTAAACATAAAAACAAATCTTTCTTATACTTTTAGATACATAATCCATTTATTGGGCATCAACTTACGTTTTAAAACATGGGTCACCAGACATCAGTTGCATACTGATCAAAACCTAAACATAAAAAAAGAAATACCATGATAATAAAAAATTATAAAATGCTTCCTCCACAGCACCTAGTCCAATATTTTCTATTGGGAAAGCACTGAATAAAATGATTGTTGAACTGGGTTATATTCATGAGAGGCTAAGGTAGGAGGATTACTTGAGCCCAGGAGTTTGAGGTTATAATGAGCTGTGATAATGCCATTGCACTCCTGCCTGGGCAACAGAGCAAGACTCTATCTCTATAAAAAAAAAAAAAAAAAAAGAATTGGGCTATATTCAATATTAAATTACTGCTTCATATAGATTAAAATCATTTTTAACACTCAAAAAACCTCAAAATTGCCAAAATCAGAATGGAAATGATAGAAAAAAACAGTAATAATAATTCACCAGTAATAATTCTGTGGGTGTGTGGCTCTGCTAATCTATTTGTCTTTACTCCCAAATTCCTATGGTGCCTAACTGTCTGGTAATGTTTTCCTTCAAGTTGCCAGGTTGATGCTTCAAGGGATGCTGGCTGGTGGCTTCTAAGAGTAGAAAGCTTCTGGCCTTTGTTCTAGCTTTAGATTGGAATTTAAAGCTCTCAAAAAAAAACTCTTGAGATAAGGTCTTGCTCTGTCACCCAAGCTGAAGTGCAGTGGTGCTATCACAGCTCACTGTAGTCTTGAACTCCTGGGCTCATGATCTTCCTCTCTCAGCCTTTGAGTAGCTGGGACTATAGGTGCATGCCATGCCCAGCTGATTCTGTTCTCTCTCTCTCTCTCTCTTTCTTTTTTTGCAGAGATGGGGTCTTGCTTATGTTGCCCATGCTGATCTTGAAACACTTGGCCTCAAGTGATCCTACCGCCTTGGCCTCCCAGAGTGCTAGCATTATAGGTGTGAGCCACTCTGTGCCCAGCCAGGATTTAAAGCTTTTCTAATACTTTCTGAGACGCTGCTATTCTCTAGATGCTGACTACCTTTAACAGTCAGTCACAGGACCTCTTTATGTTCTATGGGAATAATAATGATAATGGTAATAGCCACAACATTAACAACAATCATGATTTGAGAATTCATTATGTGCCAGGCATAAGCTAAGTGCTTAATATGCATTATTTCTTTTAATTTTCAATATTCCTATGAGAGAGCAATATTTTAATTTTAACTTCAGGGTGATTAAGTGATATTTTAAAAACTAGATAACTAGTAAAGGGCAGAGCTGAGATATGAACCCAAGCCTGAATATACCAAAATTCTTAGTCTTAATGAATAAAAGGATATGTATATTGTTGTATGTTCTTCAGCTAATGGCTGACATGTATCTTATATAACCTTATTTCATTCCTATCTCCTCACCCCAGCACCTCCATGATTTTTCTTTTTCTCTTTAAATGCCAAATCTATCCTGCTGCACTGATTTCCTCATCATTTCTTCTTTCATAGAACCCTGAGGTCTGCTTTCCAACTCCATCAAAACTGCACTCTTGAGTATCATGGATGTCTTGAAAAGAGATGGAGATGGCACATACAGCTTTTAAGGAACTGAACTGTGAAGTAGAACAGAGATGTGGGGCAGTAGTTGGAGAAGATGAGAAGTTGATTTTTGTCTTTTTTTTATATATAAATATGGGAGATAGTGGAGCTGTTTCTTTATATGTTGATGAGGATGGTTCATTTGAGGTAGAGATGATGAGAAGAGGAGATAATCCAAGGGGCAAAGCTCTTGGTTAGAAGCCAAGAGGAAGGACTGACTTCTTTCAGGAAAGGGGACATGCCATCCATTTTAACAGGAGACAAAAAAGATAAGGCTAGAGAGGCAGGTAAATTCTGTGATGGGAGGATGAGGGAATCTGAGTTTAATGGCTTCTGTTTTCTCAGTAGGATAAGGCAAGGCCAGTATCTTAGAGCAAGAATAGTGTGTCAAGATATGAGGAGAAAAAAGGTATGAGACAGAATATCTAAAATTGAGAAAGGAAGCTTAAGAAGGAAGTAGAGTATGATTGCCAGATGGCAGTGAGCATGGCTTCAGTAACGCTATCTAGTCTGGTTGTGTGATTTTCTTCAGCAATGCCTAGCATGCAAGGGTAGATGTTTAATAGCTGAGTTCAACAAAAGTTGGGGATTATTCAGACAATGCAGGGAGACAGGGACAGAGGAGCCAGGAGTGAGTATGTATGTATGTATGTATGTATGTATGTATGTATGAATGAATGAATGAATGAGATGGGGTTCTCACTACGTTGCCCAGACTGGTCTTGAACTCCTGGCCTCATGGACCATGAAATTTAAGCTGGATAAAGAGGGAAGTGGAAGCAAGTCAGGGCTGATGGATAGTGGGAGGAAGATTAAACTCAGCTCAGTGAGTAGGAGACTAAGAGGACTGGAAACATAAGAGTGGTAGGAGGAAGAAAACTTTAAATTGAAATTTTGGAAGGGGTGAAGTTTCTAGGGGTAAAAAGGTCTAGACTCTAGAGTGTGACCATGGGAGGAGGAACTGAGATGAGGAGAAGGAAAATGTTGCTGGAGATAGACAGTTTAAGGAACTGAGAAGCCTTAGGCTCACAGAAGATCAGCTATCAGGAGAGAAAATATAAATAAGATAGTCCACAAGGTTAGCTCGCCTGCACAAATGATGAAGTCATCGAAAAATGATGAATATAGGGAAAAACTGTGAGCCTGAGTCAGGAGCTAGGTCATCAATGGACAGGAGAGAGAAGGTACCTAAGGGTCAGGAGATGGCAGAGATTAGGAAGCGACAGAATGTTATGACTGAATGGTGTGACCTTCGAAAGAGTATGTTTTTTTGTAGGACAAAGTGGGAGTGATGGTGTGGAAGAATGAATGGGAAGCCAGAAGGAAACTACTCCATGAGTTGGCTCTTAGAAATGTAAGGGTCTGAAATTAAAAAGTTATTTCCATTTCCAATGAAAACACTGTCATTCAGAGAAGAATTATCCATATTTTATACAAGAAATATGAGGAAACAAGACCACTGACCAGGCAGAAGATATGCATTGTGGTCCCAGCTCTGCCACTGACTACTTTTGCGAGATACTTTAGTCTCTGCTCTTATCTATAAAATATGAATAACAATCTATCCCCATCTATCTAACCCTGTTCATCTTGTGGCGATATGGGCAAGTGCTTTGAAAACTTTTTAGAGTTATAAAACCACAAAACTCTAAAATCAACATGATTTGTACAGAAGTTTATACTATGATACTTATCTAATTTCTTCCCCGTCTTCTCTCACCATTTTCCTTCCCATATCAACTCACTGTCCCACCTTTCTTTCCAGGCACTAAATTTGTGTGAGGGCTACAAAAACCACTTTCTGCACTGGACTGCATGTGTAATAGCCACTTTATACATTTTCATATGTTCAGAGCTTAAGATTTGCTGCAAATGAAGTTTGAAAACTGTGGGGTATAAGGTAATTCTTTTCTTCACTAACTTTTGAACATCCAGTTTTTATTCAGAATTATTTTCCTTTCTTATTAGATAACTTACCATCATGGGTTAACCTAACTGAAACACTGCAAAAGGTTTATCCAGTGGGGTTTCCTGGGTACACAGTGCTTTACAAATATTTTCACAACTAATCTAATACTATAATTAACTCTATGAAGTATATATTTGCTCTCATTACTAGAGTACATGGCTCCTGATGGTACTTGGAAAAAGCCAGGCAGATGCCCAGAGGTGGGTTCCATCTGTCACTTCACTACAAGAGAAACCAGTGGCTTTTATGTACCTATCACAGCTACTCTGTTGATCACCATATGGGAGCTATAAACATTTTAAGGTATTCATTAATTCATCACACTCCTTCTTCCCAATAAGCTCTTATGTTGTAGTGGTGTATGTATTCCCTGAATGTTCAAAACATCAAAGAAAAACACCTTAGGATCATGAAGGTGAACATCTGTTACTTTTCCCTGCTTTTGTGATTTAGATGGGGTTTTTCCCTAAGTGATGAATACTTCAGTGGTGTGGTCAGTTTATGATCTCAGTATTGATTCACACCTTGTACTTAACAATATACACATATGCTTATTTAAAGGCAGATAGGCGTAATTCTTGACAAGTAAATCTTGAAACGTGCTTACTTTAAGAATGGAATTATCCTGTCTTGTATTTTTGGTATCATAGCCTTCCAGTAAACAGCGGCGAGTGGTATTTCCTGATCCAGCAAACTCTGCCAGGTTTAGATCTGCAAAGCCCAGCTATGAAAAGAAAGAGAATTATATTAATAGACTATCTAGTGGGCTTCTATCATATGCTCCTTAAAATAAACATTCAACCCATACCCTAGACAGGTTTTCTCCAACTTCATTTATTTGCAATTTTGACATATTAATACCTCTTCTATTATTTGCTTTGTGTTTTTAAATTGGTTCACTTTTTATATGAATTTATTACCTATTCTATTCTTGTCTTTAGCAACAGAATCTTTGAAATCAGATTTGATGTGGAAACCATATTTTTTCTGTATACATCAAAAATATATATTACTGTTAAAGTAAAAATAATGTATATCAAACAGCTAAAATCATTGCAAGTAGCAGTGGTATTCACACATTGGAGAAATACTAGCAAACCAATCGTGATAATTGGCATACACATAAAGAATGATCAGACTCTCTATTCTGGGTCTGGCTCTATGCCAAGTTAACCACTGGTAAAGACAGTTGCAGGTTATTAAGTTTTCACTCCCTATGCAAGAACTAGAATGACTTCAGTGAATCACTTATTTTCTTTGTACCAGTGCCTTCTCATTCACTACCCTCCACATTTGCTTTGCTGATCATCCTTGAACTGAATGTCTCTTCATGAAACGTAATTCTTCCCTTTCTCAGAGCTCTGCCCCACATCAACCCTCTCTGCTGCTGTGCAGAAGTTCAGCTCAGACCTATTATTCCTTGTTATTACTGCCCAGGTTCAGTTGCCATTTTCTGCACCTGCCGAAGGTTGCCCCACAGTCTTTCCTCTGATGTTGTTCAACCCTGTTTCTCATTTCCAAGCAGTACAACAAATCAACACCATTATCATTTTTTGAGCAAACTGAGTCTATATGCCTAAGTGTATATACAGTCTTTTTATTAACAACAAATTGTGGATTGAGCTTGCAATTTATTAAGCATATTTCCATAAATATATAATAAAAAGTATTATACATTTCAAAAACTGCCGTGATTCTAAGTTGTTTGCTTTAAGGTTTTAAAACACACAGTGGTGATAAAAAAGAGAGAATAACCAAATAGATGGAATAAAAAAACGATAAAGGGGAAATCACCACAGATTCCACAGAAATTCAAACCATCATCAGAGAGTATTACAAACAACTCTATGCACATAAACTAGTAAACCTGGAAGAAATGGATAAATTCCTGGACACCTGTGTCCTCCCAAGCCTAAACCAGGAGGAAGCTGAAACTATGAATAGACCAATAACAAGGTCTGAAGGTGAGGCAGCAATTAAGAGCCTACCACACAAAAAAAGCTCAGGTCCAGATGGGTTCACAGCCGAATTCTACCAGACACACAAAGAGGAACTGTTACCATTCCTTCTGAAACTATTCCAAATAATCCAAAAAGAGAGAATCCTTCCCAAATCATTTTATGAGACCAACATCATCCTGATACCAAAACCCGGCAGAGTCAACAAGAAAAGAAAACTTCAGGCCAATATCCATGATGAACAGAGATGCAAAAATCTTCAATAAAATACCGGCAAGCCGATTGCAACAGCACATCAAAAAGCTTATCCACCATGATCAAGTAGGATTCATCCCGGGGATACAAGGCTGGTTCAACATACACAAGTTGATAAACAAAATTCACCACATAAACAGAACCAAAAACAAAAACCACATGATTATCTCAATTGACTCAGAGAAGGCCTTTGACAAAATTCAACAGCCCTTTATGCTAAAAACCCTCAATAAACTCGGTATCGATGGAACGTATCTCAAAATAATAAAAGCTATTTACAACAAACCAACAGCCAATATCATACTGAATGGGCAAAAACTGGAAGCATTCCCTTTGAAATCTGGCACTAGACAAGGATACCCTCTCTCACCACTCCTATTCAGTATAGTACTGGAAGTTCTAGCCAGAGCAATCAGGCAAGAAAAAGAAATAAAGGGTATTCAAATAGGAAAGGAGGAAGCCAAATTGTCTCTATTTGCAGACAACATGATAGTATATCTAGAAGACCCCATCATCTCAGCCCAAAAACTCCTGAAACTGGTAAGCAACTTCAGCAAAGTCTCAGGATACAAAATCAATGTGCAAAAATCACGAGCATTCCTATACACCAATAACAGACTTAAAGAGAGCCAAATCAAGAACGAACTGCCATTCACAATTGCTACAAAGAGAATAAAACACCTAGGAATACAACTAACAAGGAATGTAAAGGACTTCTTCAAGGAGAATATAAACCACTGCTCAACGAAATAAGAGAGGACACAAACAGATGGAGAAACATTCCATGTTCATGGTTAGGAAGAATCAATATCATGAAAATGGCCACACTGCCCAAAGTAATTTACAGACTCAACACTATCCCCATCAAGTTACCAATGACCTTCTTCACAGAACTGGAAAAAACCACCTTAAACTTCATATGGAACCAAAAGAGAGCCCGCATAGCCAAGTCAATTCTAAGCAAAAAGAACACAGCAGGAGGCATCACACTACTGGGCTTCAAAACTATACTGCAAGGCTACAGTAATCAAAACAGCATGGTACTGGGACCAAAACAGAGATATAGACCAATGGAACAGAACAGAGGCATCAGAGGCAACACAACATATCTACAACCATACAATCTTGGACAAACCTGACAAAAACAAGCAATGGGGAAAGGATTCCCTGTTTAATAAATGGTGTTGGGAAAACTGGCTAGCCATGTGCAGAAAGCAGAAACTGGACCCCTTCCTGACACCTTACACTAAAATGAACTCCAGATGGATTAAAGACTTAAACATAAGACCCGGCACCATAAAAACCCTAGAAGAAAATCTAGGCAAAACCATTCAGGACATAGGAGTAGGTAAGGACTTCATGACCAAAACACTGAAAGCATTGGCAATAAAAGCCAAAACAGACAAATGGGACTTAATCAAACTCCACAGCTTCTGCACGGCAAAAGAAACAGTCACTAGAGTTAATTGGCAACCAACAGAATGGGAAAAAATTTTGCAGTTTACCCATCTGACAAAGGGCTGATATCCAGAATTTACAAAGAACTCAAACAGATTTAAAAGAAAAAAACAAACAAGCCCATTCAAAAATGGGCAAACAATATGAACAGACACTTTACAAAAGAAGACATACATGAGGCCAACAAGCATATGAAAAAATGCTCATCATCACTGGTCATTAGAGATGCAAATCAAAACCACATTGAGATACCATCTCACGCCAGTTAGAATGGCGATCATTAAACAATCTGGAGACAACAGATGCTGGAGAGGATGTGGAGAAACAGGAACACTTTTACACTGCTGGTGGGAGTGTAAATTAGTTCAACCATTGTGGAAGACAGTGTGGCGATTCCTCAAGGACCTAGGAATAGAAATTCCATTTGACCCAGCAATCCCATTACTGGGTATATATCCAAAGGACTATAAATCATTCTACTATAAGGACACATGCACACGAATGTTCACTGCAGCACTGTTTACAATAGCAAAGACCTGGAACCAACCCAAATGCCCGTCGATGATAGACTGGACGGGGAAAATGTGGCACATATACACCATGGAATATTATGCAGCAATCAAAAACGATGAGTTCATGTCCTTTGTAGGGACATGGATGAATCTGGAGAACATCATTCTCAGCAAACTGACACAAGAACAGAAAATGAAATACTGCATGTTCTCACTCACAGGCGGGTGATGAACAATGAGAACACATGGACACAGGGAGGGGAGCACTACACACTTGGGTGAATAGGGGAGGGACAGCAGGGGTGGGGAGCTGGGGAGGGATAGCATGGGGAAAAATGGCAGATGTGGGTGAAGGGGAGGAAGGCAGCAACTCACATTGCCACGTGTGTACCTATGCAACTATCTTGCATGTTCTGCACATGTACCCCAAAACCTAAAATGCAATTAAAAAAAATACACAGTGGGCACATATAAATGTGGGCATTTGAGATGAAGTTTTTAATTGTGGGTTGGAGCATTATTTTAATCGCTTGGTACAAAAAGAATGAAGAATAAGAACTCAGCAGTTGAAGGGCCACAAGCCCCAAATGCAATAAGTCAGACACATATCAAGCAAGAGTAACATCCACCTAATTTTCACATGGTTACTCTAGCCTTATTGCCTCTCTTAGAGGGGAAAAAGATCAGCAGAAAAAGCCTGGATATGTCCAGGATAGAACCATATCCAACTGGGCATGTGAAGGCTCACATGACAGATCACACATTATCAGCGCACCCTATTTCATACTTATCCTTCTCTTTGACCCTCCAACACTGCTTTCTAATCTTCACTCTCTGCTAATGACCTTGCTTCCTATTTCAATTGGAAAATAAAAGCAATTAAAAGAGCACTTAACTTCCATAAGTTTTTATGGCCAGTGACATCTTCTCAGCTACCTGCACCTGTGCCCACATATTTGCTTTTCCACTTACAGTACTGTCTGAGGCCAACGGCTCTCCTCTTGCCCACTCAAGTTAATCACTGCAGTTATTCTTTCAGCTCTTGTACATTCTAAAATTTCCCTTCTTTGCTGGATCATTCCCCACAGCATATAAACATGCTGGATTTTCTCCTACTTTAATGAACCAAAGAAAACAAAACAAAACCTCACCCCACAGGTGGGTTCCCGTTTCTCTCTCCAGGCTATTCAACCATTTTTCTGGACCTCTTTACAGCAAAACTTCTTAAAAGAGTTTTTTTTTTTTTAAATTTAATTTAATTTTAAGTTCAGGGTTACATGTGCAGGATGTGCAGGTTTGTTACATAGGTAAACGTGTGCCATGATTTACTACACCAACCTATCGCCTAGGTATTAAGCCCAGCATGCATTAGCTATTTTTCCTGATGCTCTTGTTCCCTACGCCCCCTCCTGACAGGCCCAAGTGTGTGCTGATCCCCTCCCTGTGCTCACGTTATCACATTGTTCAGCTCCCACTTATAAGTGAGAACATGCAGGGTTTAGTTTTTGTTCTTGCATTAGTCTGCTGAGGAGAACGGATTCCAGCTCCATCCATATCCCTGAAAGGACATGATCTCATTCCTCTTGAAAGAGTTTTCTATGTGGTCTCCTATTCCTCTGTCCCCTGTCCCTAGCTATCTGGTCAGCTTCATTTCCTCCTTCTCTTCATTTACTCTGGCAGCCACAATGTCCTGTTTCTTGAAAATGCCAAGATCATTTCAAGGCCTTCTGCACTTAACTGCTCTTTTGCTGGAAATGCTGTCTTTTAGACTTTCTTATAGCTTTCTCTTTTACTCCATTCAGGTCAATGTTCAAAAGTCATCTCTCTAAAGGGGCCTTCCCTGACCATCCTATATCACCTCCCTCTTCCGTCCCTTATCCTGTAGTTACCGTCTTCCACCCCTTACCTGCTTTATTCTTCTCCTTAGTAGTTATCACATCATGTGCACACATATTTCATATTTGCTTATTGTCGTCCCTCCAACAACCCCCAATCCCATTAGCATGTAAGCTCCACAAATGCAGGGATTTTTGTCTATCTTGTTCACTGCTCTATCTCCAGTACTTAGAATAGTACCAAGAACAATGCCTGCACTTAATACATAAATTAAAGAATAAAAGAACAGCCCGTCTACTATTGTAATGATGATATATTACAATGTCAATAAGTGAAAAAGGGGAGAATCTGATCAGTACCTCTTATGACTGTATGTTTATGTTCCCCCAAAATTCATATGTTGAAACTCTAACCCCCAAAAAGGTGGTATTAGGGGGCAGGACGTCTAGGGGATAATTAGGACATGAGAGTGAAGTCCTCAAGAATGAATAAATGCTCTTTTAAAAGACATATGAGAGCTTGGTTCCTTTTTCTCTGCTCTCTGCCATTTGAGAACACCATGAGATGACAGCCATCTGCAAAGCAGAAAGCAGGCCCTTACCAGACTGGATCCACCAGTATCATTTCTTGGACTTCCCAGCCTCCAGAACTGTGAGAATAAATGTTTAAATCACCTACTCTATGGTAATTTGCTTTGGCATCGCAAACTAAGACAGCCCCTATTAAGAAAATATACTAAAAGGTGAGGCATGTCAATGTGATGTTTTAGGCTGAAAGTTACTAATGAGTAAGGTCAGTATTACCAAGCATCTTTTATGTGACAGGCCCAGTTGCAGACACTAGGTAACAGTGATCAACAGGACACCTGCTCTGCCTTTAAAGAGCTTACATTATAGTGAAGAACCAGAAAGTCTACGTTTCCTTATGATTTTTTCTTTAGTTTCACTAGTAACTGTCTCATGAAATAGCATATATACATAAACATTAGCTATTTGTCACAGATATTAATTCATTCATGAAATAATCTTCAGCATCACATTTCAGGTAACATGGAAGTCATTCCTACTCTTATAGTTTAATAGGGGAGGATAGAAAAGTGAACAAATTCCTCAAAGCAGTGTGAAAGTGCTGTGATTGAGGAAGACACAGTTACAAGAAAGAGAGGAAAAGAAAAGTTCTCAGGGGGGAGGGATGACTAAGATGAGTCTTTAAGGAGATACATGAGTCAACAGGATAAGAGGAGGGAGAAATATAAGGCAGGCAGGAAAAAACATCAAGTTACAAAGCAAAAGGCTAAGATAGCATGGGCTACTTGAGGAAGTTTATGAGGATGGTATGTGTGAAGTATGAGGATGGTGTGTGTGAAGTATAAGGATGAGCATACGAGTGTGTGTGTGTGTGTGTATGTGCAAATGACAAGAGATGACAAGATGTGTCTTACCTGCCAAGTTAAAAAATTTTCATTTTCCTTTATAAGCAATGAATAGCTGCTAAAGGACTAAAAATGGGGGAATGATATGATCATGTTTTAATTTTAGAAAGATTACTTTGGCAACAATATGGAGGATGGAGGAGATAATAGAGGCAGAGAGACTAGATAGAAGACCAGTGCAGGCTGTAAATGAAAAATAATGAAGGTATCACCTGAGGCAGTGGCCTTGGGAATGGAGAGAAGATATGGTCAAGAGCTTTTTACAGAAGAAAAATCAAGAGGCTTGGTCAACTACAGCAGACCTTGTTATCTGAGCCCACAATCAATGCCCTGCTATTTCTTGATAGCAAAGCCTTGGTTTATTTTATTATTTATTGAATGATTGATTAATTGAGACAGGGTCTCACCATGTTGTTCAGGATGGTCACCAATGCCTAGGCTCAAGTGATCCTCCCACCATGGCCTTCCAAAGTCCTGGGATTACAGGCATAAGCCATCATTCCCAGCCTCAAAACTCTTTTATTTAGGTGTCCAGTCTCAGTTCATCCATGTGCACAAGGAAGGAAACCCAAACCCTAGCCCATTGTTAGATTGTGATTAGTTTAAGCTAACCATGACAATCCATTCCTATTGCCCACAACTAGTTTGGGGTGGGCATATAATCCAGTTCGGGCCAATGGAAGGTACAGGGAAATCCTCTGAGGGTCATCTAGGAAACATTTCCTCACTCAAAAAAAACGTAATACAGTGGGAAGTAGCTGGATTTTGTCATATGTGAATGTGTTGAATTAAACTTAAGCAGCCAGCCACCCACCTGGTGTCCCGGAGGCAAGTGGGCCAGGAACAAAGTCATCACATAGAAAATGGCAGAATGGAAAGAGAAAAATAATAAGGGTTCTTGATGATGTTCTTGTCAGTTGATTAACCAGTTCTGGAATGAGTCTATCTCACATCTCCTTGTTTTGTAACATTAAAAAAAATCTCTAGTTGAGGAAGGTTTTCTATTACTTTAACAAAGAACATCCTGACATTGCAACCAATTAGATTCAGGGTGTTTGGTAGATATGGAGGTTAAAACTAGTGTACAAGGGCCAGGCATGGGGGTTCATGCCTGTAATCCCAGTACTTTGGGAGGCCAAGGCAGGAGGATCACTTGAGGCCAGGAGTTCGAGACCAGCCTGGGTAATATAGCAAAACCCCATCTCTACAAAAACAAAAAACAAAATTTAAAAAGTTAGGAGAAAAAAGACTCATGTATAATCTCTTGGTTTAGGTGACTGGATTGACAGAGGCACCATTCACAGAGACTGCAAATAAAAGAGGACTATGTGAGTTTCTGGTAGTGTTGTTACTAATTCCTTCTAGTCAGCAACAAGGTGAGCACATTTACTAGTAATTCCACATAGCTAGTAAAAGTAAAAACCAGCAGTACTGACCATGTTTATACAGAGCACTAAGACAGCATAAAGGAGGGGTCCTCTTACAGTGGGGGGAGGTGGGCCTGGCAACACTTCCCAGGTGAGACCCTTTGAATTATCATCTGCTATGGCTTAATGTAAACCAGAGATCCTCTAGCAGGCAGGCTGAATCTAAAGAATAATATCCCGTAATCAGCATTTAGAAATAATATGTCTATAATTTACTGTTAGATCCAACTGTTCAAGCTCCAAGTTGCTTTATATAAAAAGAGCCAAGCTTGAACAGATATTAGAAGAGTAAACCATTTAATTTTTAAGCCTATAAATAGCAATAAGCAACATTACATGTTCCAAAACAGTTAAAGAACATCTGCTTACCTTTGCATAAGCTTTTCCACCTTTTAATTCCTGCCAGAGACAAAAAACACTATAAGGATATCATGTAATTAAAAATTTAAAATTAACTATATGTCAAATAATTCTGAAGTAGACATATATATGTGGGCAAATATAGATAGTAAATTCTGATGATCTTAAATCTAACTATTTAGACTCCCACAATCCCCCCAAATGACCAGAATTTTTATTTAGCATTTCACTTTAACATAAATGAGACAAATGGTGAGAACATAAGCTAATATTTTGTTTATCTGATGAAGAAGAAATGGTCAAAAAGTGTTATGGACTCACTGCAAAAACTGAATCACCAAAGAAAGGTTAAATTATTTACTCAGTTAAGCACACTAATATAGTATAGAAAGATTTCAACAAGACTTGAAACCACAACCCAGGGACAACCAGCTTTTATGAATCATTGAAGAGTTACTTTATGTGTATAAAAGCATATGTTTAGTCTAGTACAAATCCTCTTACCTAATGTGAACAAGACTGGCCAAAGTGGAAAATAACAAAAAATAATAGATAGATGTCTTTTTTAACTTAAAATATGTAACTGTACATTAATTTGCCATATCTTTAGGTTTGTTGTCATACACCTCTAAGAATTAAGTGTAAAGCACTTAGAACAATACCTAGCATAAGGTATATGTTTGTATATATGTATTTGGTGAATATAAATATGCTAAGAAACAATCTATGATAAACTCCATTATCATTCATGAGTATTTGCTGTTCCTCCCTTTCCCTGCTTCACTGATTCCACGTGTGGCCAAGCCACTAGATCTACCCCATTACGAAGGACCACATTTTTATTAGGTCACTGTCATATTCCTTGATAGTGCCCTTCCTTAAGCCAAGAAAACAATTTTTTTTCCAGATGATCCTTATTTCTGCTAATTCTTTTCTTTCCTCCTCTCTATAGCCAAATTCATCAAAAGACTTATCTATGTTTGCTACATCCTACTCTCTATTCAACCCACTCCAACTTGGCTTTAACCCTTATTTCCCTCTGTAATAGTTCTTTTTCATTTTTTATTTCTTAGATACAGGGTCTCTGTCAACCAGGCTAGAGTGCAGTGGCATGATCATAGCTCACTGAAACCTCAAACTCCTGGGCTCAGGAGATCCTCCCACCTCAGCCTTCTGAGTAGCTAAAACGACAGGTGCATGCCACCACACCCAGCTAATTTTTTTTTTTTTTTTTTTGTAGAGACAGGTTCTCACCATGTTGCCTAGTTTTGTCTTAAACTTCTGGCCTTAAGCAATCCTGGCTCCTCAGCCTCCCAAATTGCTGGGATTACAGGTGTGAACCATTGTGCCCGGGCCCTCTGCAATAGCTCTTAAGATTACCAAGCCAAGGCTCCCTGTTTTCATCTTAATCGACATCTCAGTAGTAGGTTACAGGGTTGGCCACTCCACCTCCTTTCTTGTATCATTTTCTTCGCTAAACTTCCATGGTATCACAATTGCCTGGTGTTATTCCTACCTCATTGGCAACTCCTCACTCTCTTTTCCTGGACCTACTCCTTCATTCAACCTCTGTAGAAAGAATGCTAGTCATATCCAAATTATCCATTCCTCCCCTCCATAGTAACAGAATCTGTTTTTAGTTGGGCATCTGGCTGCACAAAAATAACCATTTCTACGTTGTAACTCTATGCCAAAACATAAGCACTTCTCCCTTTGACTATCACAAACCACCTAAGTGGTCTCTGCGATTCATCCAACACAGCAGCAAAAGTGATCTTATGCAAGATGATGTCTCTCCTTATTAAAATCCTCCAATACTTTCCATTGTAATTAAACTTCATAAGGCCTGGACTGATCTAGCGGATCCAATCCTATTACCAAGAACTTTCCCTCTGTTTCCCATGCCACAGTCAGGCTGGTCTTGTCATTTAAACATGTCACACTTCACTGCATGGGGTTCACAGTACTTCTGAATCTGTGGTTCGATATCTTTGATCAGTTTTAGAAGATTCTCAGCCACACTCGTCTCTCCTCCTAGGGCTTATACAGTTAGACCTTTCTACTGTCTCCTACATGTCTTACCTTCTTTCCTGTCTATTCCACCCTTGTTTTCTCTGTGATTTAGGCTGAATATTTTCTTCTGTCTTATTTTCCAATTTACCAATGCTCTCTTCAGTTATGGTAAACCTGCTGTTAAATCCATCTGTTGAGGTTTTCTTTCATTTACTTAGCTTTAAATTTTAGTTAATGTACTTCTCAGTTTTAGAATTTAATTTGCTTTTTGTTTTTTTTTTAAACAATTTTTAGTTCTCTGATGAAATTCTCTATCTTGTTCACTAATTATAGTTATTATAAAAGTCTGTCTTTGATCTTCCCAAAATTTGTGTCTTCTGTGGGTCTCTTTTTATCATATACTTTTCCTTTTGATTTTTGGTCATGCAGTCATGTCTTTTCATATGCTTGATAACTGTGTATGAAAACTTGAAGAAATAATTTGAGATTCAGAGTGACGTGATATAGGGAAAGACATATATGCTTTTGGCGAGTAGTAAGGAAGAGGCAGATCCAAGAAGGGATCCTTTAGAATCCCCTTAGATTGGCCCTTCCCTAGGCCTTTATATGGTTGCCTCTTTTTCAAATGTTACCTTTCAGAGAAGTCTTCACTGACTCCTGCCCCAGTTCTCTAAAATAGCCTCCTTTGTCCAAGCTAATCTCCACTACCTAATTGTTTCCTACACATAACACTTATGACCTCAAATAATCTTATTTGGCTACATGTTTACAGTCTCTGGCTTTCCTATCACACCTCCCCCAACTCCAACCAGAAAGTAAAGTATTTGGGGGCAGGAACTCATTCCAGTTCACCACTGTCCTCCCAGTAACTGGAATAGTACCTGTTGACTGGTCACTGATTGCTTCCCTGTGTCCTAGGCAACAAAGCACAATATCAAACTTTTTCATCTTTGTCAACTTTATAGGTAAAAAATGGTATCTTATTTGTAATTTTAATTTGTGTCAGATTTTCATGTTTAAAAGCTATTTATAGCATCATGATAGAGACTGCATCTTTATCTGATACAGGACACAGAACTAGCATGGAAAAGAACAAGGCCAGAGACTCTTGCTTTCATTCTAAATCTTTCTTCTCTATTTAATTTTTAACCATTATATGTATTATTTTGGTAAGTATAACATATGTATACACACACACACACACACACACACACACACAAAGTTGAACCATATGAAATTACCACTTTTTAAAATTATTGGTAATTTGCTTCAACCTAATATTGGGAAAGAAAATATACAGGAAAGAAAACAGACTTGGAATCAGAAAACTCTGTGTTTGAGTCCCTGCTTTGCCATTTATTAACTATGTAAATTTGGGCAAGTAACTTCTCCGAGCCCTGGTTTCCTGAAAATGGAGAAATAATACCTATTTTCAGGGTTATTAGTTATATTACACGTAAAGTTCCCAGAACAATGCCCAACAAAAACCCGGAATTTAACAACTAGTGATATAGATATATATAGTCCCCAAACTAATACAAATAAGATTAATACTTATATGCATAGTAACAGTGAGATGAAGGTTCTTGAGTAATATTTTAATTTATAACCTCAGATTCTTCATCATATTTGCCATGATAATTTAAATTACTTTAGCAAGTGTGAAGTAAAACTGCATACACGGTTCTAATGATAAAGATAAAGCAGAGCTAAACAAAACAAGCTGGTGACTATGGAAATAACTATGGTTTCTGAAAGGGAAGAAGTAATAGGCTATTTTTATACCTTCCTCACTGATACTCTGTAGATACAAGGATCTAGGATGCCTGTGGCAGCACTTGCACTCATTTTGCACATAAACGAGAACTTCTTTCTCCAGTGAACACAGTTTGCTTGTACCACCTCCCTGAAAGAAAGAAAAAAAGAGCCAATTAATTAACTATTATTGATGACATGTTAAAAAGCAGACCCACACTTTCACTCAAGTCTAATGCAAAAGTAATGTAATAAAAGCCAGTATTTGTAAACAGTGTAACAGGAAGGAAGCAAATTCCTAACAATGTGCTCTGAAAATCTTTGGAAGGTTTTAATTATCCACAGGAAACTGGAAAAACGTGAATTTACTTATCAATTAAATCAGTATAAAGTAAGCCACACCATTCACTCACTCAACACACAATGTACATTTACTTTATATGTTGCACATGTGGTACATGCTTAACCTACGCAACTGTCTTGCATGCTCTGCTCATGTACCCCAAAACCTATAATCCAATAAAAAATTAAAAAAAAAAAATATATAAAGACCAGGACAGAGTTCCTGACCTTGTAGGGCTTATATTCATAGTTAACGCAAGTGACAGAAATATGAACACATGCTTATTCTAGGAATAAGCAAATCCTTGTTTTAAGATGAACTATTGTCACAGTTTAACTCCAGCCATAACAGCAACATCAGCTGCCATTTACTGAGAGCTTACCATATGCTATGAAATTTCCCAACAACCTTGTGAAGTAGCTGGCATTTTCTTCACCTTATTTATTTATTTAATTAATTATTTACTTATTTATTTGAGATGGAGTCTTGTTCTGTTGCCCAGGCTGGAGTGCAGTGACATGATCTTGGTTTACTGCAATCTCTGCCTCCAGGAGTGAAGCAATTCTCCTGCCTCACTCAGCCTCCCAAGTAGCTGGGATAACAGGCACCTGCCACCATGCCAGGCTAATTTTTTTTTTTAGTAAAGACAGGGTTTTGCCATGTTGTCCAGGCTAGTCTCAAACTTCTGACCTCAGGTAATCCACCCGCCTCAGCTTCCCAAAGTGCTGGGATTACAGGTGTGAGCCACTGTGCCCAGCCTCTTCACTTTAAAGATAAGGAAAATGAGGTGTGATGTGAGAAGTGAACTCAAGGTCATTTAAGTAGGAGGTGGTAGAGAAGAACTGGCATTCAAACCAGGCCTGTTTAACTTTAAAGTCTACTTGCCCATACAGGAGAATCTGTATTTTCCCACAGTTTTTCTCTTTCAAGCTTCCAGACTTTTGTACATACTGTTCTCTCTGCTATCGTGTGTAGGTACAGGGGCAGGGCTCAGCCTTAGAAAAGGATAACCATTCCTCTAACATAGGAAAGAGAGAAAGATAACGGATAAAATAAAGAGAAAACTAGAGAAAGCAAAAGAGAACAGCAAGAGAGCCCAAGAGGCTGAATAATTTTGATTTTCTTAGGACAGTAATAAGTCATGTCTGTGGAGTGATAGGGACTGGTAAGTGAGTTGAAAATTTAGATAAAGGCTTAGAGACAGAAAAACCGCTGTAGTGAATGTGAAAAGTCAAACTTATGGCTGTCTCAGGGAATAAAATAGATTTTTATTAGGATCTACCAGTTATTTTTGTTGTTGTTGTTGTTTTTGAGACAAGGTTTTACTCTGTCGCCCAGGCTGGAGTAGTGGTACGGTCACAACTCACTACAGCCTTGACCTCTCAGGCCCAAGAGATCTTCCCTCTTTAGTCTCCCCAGTAGCTGGGATCATAAGCATGTAACACCACACTCAACTAATTTTTTTTTTTTTTTTTTTTTTTTGGTAAAGATGGGTCTCCCTATGTTACCCAGGCTGGTCTCAAACTCCTGGGCTCAAGCCATCTTCCTGTCTCAGCCTTCCAAAGAGCAAGGATTATAGGTGTGAGCCACCTAGCCTGCTTTTTCTGATTTCTCAATCAGTACACAGAAATCCAAGAACAGGAATTACAAAAAACAAAACACCATAATTTAAAAACCAAGTATGCATTTGTGTGTGGTGTGTGCATGTGTGTTTACTTTTAGATACCAAACAGACACAGGAATGGGAAAGGAGGACCTGCATTTTACCATTGGTTCCACTATGATAACTTTGGCCATTTTTTTTCCCTTAGGAACCCTTAAGTGATTTAATGAATCATGATATTAAGAGTGTATCTGTGGGTTCATAGCAGAGTCTCCCTTGAAATCCAGGCAGGGTGTAATTTATTGGTGCAGTCACAATACCAATTGTGAGATAAGTTGTTTGATAAAGGATGGACCTGGAGGTAGTTGTCAGGCAGCTGGAGGACTCCTTGGTAAGGAGGGCAGTTGCTAACATGTACACTCAAAAATAAATACATTAAAAAAACAGTGAATAGCAATAGAAATAAGCAAGAAAAAAATTCAGATTTTTTTTTGACACAGGGTCTTGCTCTGTCACCCAGGCTGGAATGCAGCAGTACAATCTTGGTTCACTGTAACCTATGCCTCCTGGGAGCAAGCAATTCCCATGCCTCAGCCTCCCAAATAGTAGCTGGGATTACAAGTGTGCACCACCACACCTGGCTAATTTTTGTATTTTTGTAGAGATGGGGCTTCACCATATTGGTCAGGCTGGTCTCAAACTCCTGGCCTCAAGCGACCTGGCCACCTTAGTCTCTCAGATTGCTGGGATTATAGGCATGAGCCACCGCACTCAGCCTAGAATTTTTTATTATTGCTTCTCTCCCAACATCTCTTGGCCTCAAGACTTGCTGGAGGCATCAGCTATGGTCTCCGGAGCTCCTAACAAGGAGATATAGATAGAAACAATGATGTCCTGAACCCTTCAGGGTTCACTGAGCTTCAAGGTGCTCGGTTGTTCCTGTCACTGAGACCACTGATACATCATCTGATATCAAGAAACAATATTTAAGATAAAACTATTTTACTTTCATTACAACATTATATACAATTTCTAGTTAAACATGGCAGGTTGAGTGTATGTATTAGCCTCTGCTCCCTCCCAAAACCTACTAAATAAAAACAAGTAACGTATTACCTCACAGGGACGAGGAGAACTAGAGACAAAAATAAGTGGCCAGGGACAGACAGACAAGTGACAGCTAATTTAGCATAGTGAGGAAATTTGAACCTTATGCTGGTAATAGTAAAAGCAAAGAGTAAGAAACTTAAACAGGCTTTGAAGTCGAACGAAGGAGGGACAAGGCAGAGGATTGATCAAAAATTGTTTCAGATATAGTCAGACTGCAGACCTCTCCTTCCCTGACTCCTGCAGACGACTGAGATGTATTTTCCTGACAAGGTGAAATGGAAGGATGCTCTGGACAGCCTGTAGTGAGGACAGTTATTAGAAACAGCAAGTGCAAAGGCATGCTGGCCAGGGTAATGAAAGATGACTTAATGCTGAGACTTCCAGCCTTCCCCAAACCTGGCTTCTCACAATGCCAGAACCAAGCACCTGTTCTTCAAGATGTGGGAAGAATATTCTCTGGGGAATCCAACCCAGCTTCAAAGAAAAGATTTCATGAGATGGATTTTGAGGGTTCCCAATGACACAGCCAGCCAAACCAACCTATAATAAAAATCTGAGATGACAGGCACCCCCACATACACAAAGCTCCCGATGAACATTTAGTGCCTCACAGTTAAATATGAGCAGCTAAGTGAGGGAAGTCTTTTAATATGAGAGAAACCAAAATGAAAGAAAAAAACTAACTTGGCTGGTTGCAGGGGCTCATGCCTGTATTCCCAGCACTTTGGGAGGCTGAGGTGGGAGGGTTGCTTGAGCCAGGAGTTTGAGACCAGCCTGGACAACAAATGGATACCATTTCAACAAAAAATTTAAAACTTAGCTGGGTATGGTGGTGTGCGCCTGTAGTCCCAGCTACTCGGGAGGTTGAGGCAGGAAGATCACTTGAGTCTAAGAGTTCAAGGCTGCAGTGAGCCCTGAGTGTGCCACTGTACTCTAGCCTGGGTGACAGAGCAAGACTCAGTCTTTTTTTTTAAAAAAAAAAAAAGGGAGAGAAAAATAGCAACTTGAACAAAACAGAGCATGTGCTTGAAGAAGAAAAAATATTCTGAGTGATTAAAAAAAGAAACTGCATCTACCACACAGGAATAGGATGCTATATTTAAAAAAAAAAAAACATACAGAAAATTAAAAAGTGCTCAAGGAAATCCAAACTACTGGGCTTGATATTTTGTCATTCCAGATCCACTTTACCCTTCTCTGTGGCCAAGGCCAGTCTTATGAGCTACATCAACCAGGCTCCCTTGCCCTCTACCTCCGATTGTGCTAAAGTGACAAACACTGCAAGGATAGAGGGCAGGAGGAGAGGGAAGCAGATGCAGTTATTCTCCTTGCTCCTTTCCTGTTGGGCCATGTGAGAAATAGAGGATTGTGCTTTTCCATAATACGCCTTGTAGCACTTAGACTCTATATTATTCGTATTTATGACTTTGTTAAAATAAAAATAAATTAAAAAACACTGTCAGGTACTGAATAATCTAAAAATAGGAACAAAAGTATTCTTCCCTCCCTCCCTCCCTTTCCGCTTTCCTTCCCTCTCTCCCTCCTTCCGTCCCTCCCTCCCCTCATCCCTCTCTTCCTTCCTTCCTTTCTTTCTTTTGAGAAGGGGTTTTGCTCTGTTGCCCAGGCTGAAGTACAGTGGCATAATTGCCATTTTTCATTTGTCTGTGAAATAAGTGTAATTTCTAGGCAATACTAATTATAGAAATACATCTTAGATTTTTATCTACTTTAAATGCCTTTATAGTGTAGTAGCTTTTAAATGCCTAATTGTATACGATATCATTTGTACAAACAGAGGGCAGCTTTGGCCTGAGTAATGAAAACCAAAGAAATCAAGTGAACGCTGTATGTGAATGTTTCTTTTAAGAAACAAACCAGACAAGCAGGAAAGAAGTATTTGCAGAAATATTAATCTAGTTTAGTTAGACAGTGGAGGAAGCCAACATTAAGTCTGATGGGCTTGGGGAAAAAATAAGAGATTAAGAAACTTCAGCACAGCAGTATAAATATGGGCAGGTAATTAAAATTACAGTGTAAAATAGAGGTAGAGAACTGGTTTTCATACAGGCATGTCTTTAAATCTTAAGGGAAAAAA